TCGGCCTCCCAAAGTGCTGGGATTACAGGCGTGAGCCACCACGCCCGGCTGAGACAGAATCTCTGTCACCCACAATGGAGTGCAGTAATCCAATAATAGCTCACTGCAGCCTCAACCTCCCAGGGTCAAGTGATCCTTCCATCTCAGCCTCCTGAATAGCTGGGACCACAGGTGTGCACCACAATGCCTGGCTAAGTTTTTTATTTTTTGTAGAGATGGGGTCTCACTATGTTGCCCAGGCTGGTCTTGAACTCCTGGGCTCAAGCAATTCTCCCACTTCAGCCTCTCAAAGTACTGGGATTACAGCCATGAGCCACCCTACCTAGTCTAAATAAATGATATTTTAAGAGAGTGGGAGCATAGAAGCAGGTCCTTTTGTGAAGCATATTAAAAATATATAATAATGTTCACACATTGGTTTTGTAACTGCCCAGTGGGGTCATCTTGCCTGCTGCCTAGATACAGCCCATTTATCAAGACACAGGAGAAGTACAATACAGAGAGCGTTTAATACACAGAGAGCTGGCTAAATGGAAGACTGGAATTTTTTTTTTTTTTGAGACAGAGTCTTGCTGTGTCGCCCAGGCTGAAGTGCAGTGGCTCACTGCGACCTCCCACCTCCCGGGTTCAAGCAATTCTCCTGTCTCAGCCTCCTGAGTAGTTGGGATTACAGGTGCATGCCACAGTGCCTGGCTAATTTTTTTTGTTTTTGTATTTTTGTAGAGATGGGGTTTCACCATGTTGGCTAGGCTGGTATCGAACTCCTGACCTCGTGATCCACCCACCTCGGGCTCCCAAAGTGCTGGGATTACAGGTGTGAGCCACTGCACCTGCCTGGAGTTTTATTATTACTCAAATCAGCCTCCCAGAAAGTTTGGGTCTTTCAAGGATAGTTTGGTCCATGCCCAGGAATGACCAAGGGCAGTTTGGAAGTTAAAAGCCAAGATGAAGTTGGTTAGATCAGATCATTAATAAAGTGATCTAACTAACCATTAGATTGCTGTTGACAGTGTTTGCAAAGGTGGTTTCAATTCATTCCTGAAAGTTCACATTTTGGGAAAAGAAAATTTCCAAAATTTTGCAGAGGGATGGAGGGTTAGGTTCCTTAAAAGATGGGCATGTGTATTTCCTTTCCCTCTTCAATCACTGTTGCCAGGTTGAAGTAACTCTAAGGTGCCTCCTCCCCACAGTGTGCTGGGGACAGGATCTGCAAATTATCACACCCAGTCTTATCACCAGTCATATGACCTGTAGGCCATTCTCTGACCTCTAAACTTTCCATATCCATTGTTTCATGGGCTCTCAGTATCACATTCTTTTTCTTAGTCTCTTATTCATTGTATGCCTGCCTCACTCCGTGCCCCATAAGGGCATAAATATTACTGATCTTTTTAGCCTGACCAACATGGGGAAACCCCATCTTTACTAAAAACACAAAAATTAGCCAGGTATAGTGGTACACGCCTGTAATCCCAGCTAGCTACTTGGTAGGCTGAGGCACGAGAATCACTTGAACCCAGAAGACTGAGGTTGCAATGAGCCAAGATCGCGCCATTGCATTCCAGGCCTGGGTGACACAGTGAGACTCCATCTCAAAAAAAAAAAAAAAGAAAGAAAGAAGGAAGGAAAGAAAAAGAAAGAAAGAGAAAGAAAGAAAGAAAAAAAAAGAAAAAAAGAAAGAAAAGAAAGAAAGAAAGAAAAGAGAGAGAGAGAAAGAAAGAAATTACTGGTCTTTAAAAATGTGTTGACGTTATTTCAGACATACAGAAAGGTTACAGGAAAAGTTCAAAGAATACTTGCATACTCTTCTCCAGTTGTTAATATTTTACATTTGCCACTTGTTTTATTTATTTTATTTTATGTATATACATTGTTATGGACTGAATTGTATGTTCTCTAAAATTCAGCGTTGACACTCTGACCTTGGAATGTGACTGTATTTGGAAATACAGCCTTTAAAACAATGACTAGGTTAAAATGGGGCTGTTAGGATGGGCTCTAAATTAATCTTACTGGTTTCTTTATGAGAGGAGATTAAGACATTCAGAGAGGCCAGGCATGGTGGCTGATGCCTATAATCCCAGCACTTTGGGAGGCCAAGACGGGTGAATTCCTTGAGTCCAAGAGTTCAAGGCCAACCTGGGCAACATGGCGAAGCCCAGTCTCTACTAAAAATGCAAAAAAGTAGGCTGATGTGGTGGCGCGTGACTACAGTACCAGCTACTGGGGAGGCTGAGGTGGGAGGATCACCTGAGTACAGGAGGTTGAGGCTGCAGTGAGCTGAAGGCGCACCATTGCACTCCAGCCTCGGAAACGAGAGTGAGACCATATCTCAAAACAACAACAAAAAGTAAAATAATAAAAGATATTCAGAGAGAGATATCAGGGTTGCATGTGCACACAGAAAATGCCGTAACACAGCAAGCATGCAGCCCTCTGCAAGACAAAGACTGCAAGCCTCAAGAGAAACTAATCCTGCCAACACCTTGACCTTTGCTTCTAGCCTCCAGAACTGTTAGAAAATGCATTTCTTTTTTTTTTTTTTTTAGATCAAGTCTCACTGTTGCCCAGGTTAAAGTGAAGTGGTGCAATCTTGGCTCACTGCTACGTCCGCCTCCTGGATTCTAGTAATTCTCCTGCCTCAGTCTCTCAAGTTGCTGTGATTACAGGCATGCACCACCACGCCTGGCTAATTTTTGTATTTTTAGTAGAGACAGGGTTTCACCATGTTGGCCAGGCTGGTCTCGGAATCCTGATCTCAGGTGATCTGCCTGCCTCAGCCTCCCAAAGTGCTGGGATTACAGGTGTGAGCCAATGCACTCAGCCCATTTCTGTTGTTTAAACGACTCAGTCTGTGTTATTTTGTTATGGCAGCCCTAGCCAACTCATATATACAAAACATTATTTTTTTTCTGAACTATTCAAAAGTTGCAGACATGGTCATTTAGTTCTAGAAGCAAGTGCAATATATTCTCTTACATTACCTCATGCGATTAGCTAACACTGATACAATGCTATTAGCTAGTTGCAGACTTTATTCATATTTTGCCAATTGTCCTATGATGTCATCTATAGCAAAAGAGAAAAAAAAAAAAAAAAGAAGAAAGAAAGAGAAAAAAAGAAAGACAAAAAGTTTTGGGTCCAGAATCCAGTCCAGAATCAAACAGCATTTAGCTATCATGTCTAGGTTCCTTTAATGGAGAACAGTTTCTCATTCTTTGTCTTTCATGGCCTTGGAGCTGTCAAGAGTACAAGCAATTTATCTTGTAGAATATCTCTCACTTTGGGCTTGTCTGATATTTCCTTGTGAATAGATTAAGATCTCCTAGTGTGTTCCAAAGCTTTAGAACTTTTTTTTTTTTTTCCTGGACAGTTTTAACATTCTGGGTCTGTGATCTTTCTCCTCAATGTGAAATGAGGAATCTGTAACTGTTTTTAGGAGACTCATTGGTTTAGGAAAATCACTTTATTAAATTTACAGGCTTGTTAAGAGCTACGAAGTGATGTGTCTCCTCAATGGATCCTATCAGAAGGCACATATGTGTGTTCCATTACTGGATAGTGCTAACTTTTATCACGTGGTTGAGGCAGTAACTGTCAGGTTTCTTCACTGTAAATTTACCATGTTCCTTTCCTTCCTGGAGGCTAGAAGAAAAGGTCAAGGTGTTGACAGGATTGGTTTCTCCTGTTCTTTTTTTTTTTTTTTTTTTTTGAGACAGAGTCTCTCTCTGTCCCCGGGGCTGACGTGCAGTGGCACAATCTCGGCTCACTGCAACCTCTGCCTCCTGGATTCAAGCGATTCTCGTGCCTCAGTCTCCCAGTAGCTGGGATTACAGCGTCCGCCACAACGCTCAGCTAATTTTTTGTGTTTTTAGTAGAGAGGGGGGTTTCAACAGGCTGTCCAGGCTGGTCTCGAACTCCTGACCTCAGGTGATCTGTGCGCCTTGGCCTCCCAAAGTGCTGGGGATTACAGGCGTGGGCCACCGCGCCCTGCCCTCCTTAAGTTTCTTTTTTTTTTTTTTTTTTTTTTTTTTTTTTTGAGACAGGGTCTCGCTCTGTCGCCCAGGCTGGAGTGCAGTGGCACAATATCGGCTCACTGCAAGCTCCGCCTCCCGGGTTCACGCCATTCTGCCTCAGCCTCCCGAGTAGCTGGGACTACAGGCGCCCGCCACCGCGCTCGGCTAATTTTTTCTATTTTTAGTAGAGACGGGGTTTCACCATGGTCTCGATCTCCTGACCTTGTGATCCGCCCGCCTCGGCCTCCCAAAGTGCTGGGATTACAGGCGTGAGCCACCGCGCCCGGCACCCTCCTTAAGTTTCTTTGCGGGAGAGATACTTTGAGACGATGCAAAAAGTTTGCGGGAAAGAATACAGGAAGCCCAGTTGAATCTGAATTCCAGATAAGCCATAAATAAAGTATAAATATGATCCCCCAAAGTGTTTATCTAAAATTCTAATTTGATTTGGCATCCTGTGTCTTTATTTGCTAGATCTGGCAACCCTATATGTAAATATCTTGCTCCTCATCCAACTTTCACCCAGTTGTTTTGACATCTATTGCTGCTTCTGAATCAGTTTTTACTATGATTTTGCTAAACGGTGATTTTCTAACTCCATAATTCCTTTTACTTCTATTCATTGGTATTCTATCAGGTTGTCTTTTCATCCACCCTTTACAGCGCTTGGCACACAGTAGGCGCTCATATAATTGTTCAACGAATGAATGAATGAACATTTCTCTTGTGTTGTCCGGGCTTCCGTGACACTAGCGGCGACAGGCAGGAGCTTGACTTCCTCAGCCATTCACGGCATGTTGCCGAGGCTTCAGAGCCTTACAGGACCTCGCTCCAAGCTCTTCTTGCTCCAATCAAAAACAGGGCTCTTGCGGACTTCGCTTACGTTTAATAAAGAAAATCGGTTGGCCCCTTCGGCTCCAGCTGGCTCAACAGCCAGCCAGTGGCGTGTGGCGGGGACCAATGGGTGGCGGAGGGAGGCGGGGCCTGCCACGAGGCCGCAGTATAACCGCGTGGCCCGCGCGCGCGCTTCCTTCCCAGCGCGGTCACCGGCGCGGGCTATGGCTGCAACCTCCTTCATGTCCGCGTTGGCTGCCCGGCTACTGCAGCCCGCGCACAGCTGCTCCCTTCGCCCTCGCCCCTTCCACCTCGCGGCAGTTCGGTAAGAGGGTCAGGGAGCTCGGTCAGCGCGGAAAGCTGAGGGGAACGGAGGGCGAGGGGCACGCCGGGCCCCCGAGGGACACCGAGGGAAGTCCTTCCCGAACATCTCCGCCCCGGCGGTGGTGGCCGCCGAGGGGTGTGGCGAGGCGACGTGGCACCGAACGCCGCCGCAGCCCTCGACTGGGGCGCTTGCTCGGCGCGAAGGGCTGGGACCCGAAGCCTGCCTTTCGGAGGGAGCCGCTCTTCCGCGACTCGGGGCGTCGCCGGGGCCCGTGAACTGTCGGCGGGAGTGACGGGGGTGGCGTGCGGAGCGAAGGCGTCGGTTTACGCGGGGCCTTTCGACAGCTGCCGGCCGCGCCTGGCTGAGAGTCGTCTGGGGGAGAGCAGGCGAGGGTTCCAAAAGAGCAGCCCTCGGCGAGCTGTCCCTTGCAGGGATCCTAGCGGCGGAGTGCGCTGCTGCAGCTGATGAAATCGCGGAGCCGACTTGCTCGGGGTCCCCGCGCCGCCCTCCTCCCTCCGACAGTGGGAGTGGCCCGCGCTGCCGCCGCTCCGCCCGGAGCGTGAACGGACTCTAGACCCCCTGGCTTTGGCTGCAGCCCACCCGAGCCGGTCAGTACCGGGCTGCGTACAGAGAGGTGGCAAACACCCAGGAGGCACCCAGGGCCTTAGGGAAAGGGGGAATGGAGGGTGACAAGTACCCACGTTTCAGCGGTACTTGCAGAATTTCAGTTTTACAAGATGAAGAGTTCTGGAGATGGATGGTGCTGATGGTTGCACAACGTACGAACGTATTTAATACCACAGAACTGCACTTAAAAATCGTTAAGATGGGCCGGGCATGGGGACACGCGCCGAGGCTGAGGCACGAGAATCGCTTGAGCCCGGGAGTTCGAGGCTGCAGTGAGCCATGATTACGCCACTGCACTCCAATCTGGGCGACAAAGCGAGACCTTGTCTCAAAAAAAAAAAAAAAAAAAAATGTTGGTAAGATTTAGGTTATATGAATTTTACCACAGTAACAAATTGGGAAAAATATACCCGGGAGGAGGAAAGGAAAAGCTCTATTTGCATTTTTGGATTTCCTTGGGAAGGTGATTTGGTCGGTCATTAGAGCATTGGCATTGTTGGCATTGTTAGAGCCCCGCACCTTATGACATCAGCCCCTTCTTTTTTTCATCTAACGTTTCACTGTGTGCCAGACATTTTTTTATGCCAAGCTTTGCGAATTCAGAGATAAAAACTGTTTTTAATGGAGCTCATGTTCCTGACAAGAGGCGGAACACGTGTGTAATTTCCAGTCAGTGCAGAAATGCTGTTAGAAATATTTCAAAGGCGCTGCTTGTTGGAGCAAAATGCTGTTAGAAATATTTCAAAGGCGCTGCTTGTTGGAGCAATGAGTTCTTGAAGGAAGACGTGGAAGGGGACTTTCAGGGTTTTCCCTGGACTGACTCTGACCTCCCCCATCTTTCGTTACTGTGTGTTCTCTCCCCCTCTCCCTCTTCCTGAGTGCTGGCCTCATGTGACTGTGGACCGGACCTTTCCTAGGCTTCCATGGTCCAAAAGAGATTTATAAAGATGCTCTCACTCACTAAAGAACTGGGCCAGTTTGCCAACACTCGCCAATAGCAAATGCTCTTTTCGCTACCTTTCAGAAAGAACAAGTAAGCTTCATCCACATCTCTGAAAGCAATCCATATTATCCCTACTGCACATTTGCTATTTACAGTTCCCACATATTGCCTTCTTACTACTTATTTTTAAAAATACTGCTTATTTTTAAATACTGCTTATTTTTAAAATGTATCTTTTTGAAAATATGAGTGCATTCCTTTTTTTTTTTTTTTTTCTTTGTTGGTTGGTATGAGAGTTTCAGGAACATAAACCTATGGTTGGAGAAATTGTAGCCTAGGAGACTGGGGTTATGAAGTCAATGGACTTTAGAGGCAGAATTTGCCTTTGAATCTTATTTCTACTATCCTCAGTTTCGTCTTCTGTATAACAGTGTTATTATAATAGTCCCAAGGTGACAGAGTAATATATGTTAAAGTCTAAGCAAAACACCTAGTGTTTAATAGATGTTTGTTCCATTTTCCCTTGTGTCTTCCTTCACTCATTACTTTTCCCATTAATAATTGATAACAACTCTTCCCTAAATCATTTGATTATGAATTGTAAAATGCCCTGATACTAATTTCTCATGGAAAAGTACAGTACTGTAAGCTGTTGAATTAAAAGGAAAGTGAAGATGCTACTCACTTGGATTTTAGTTTTGAATTTTATTTTATTTTTTGAGACGGAGTCTCACTTTGTTGCCCAGGCTGGAGTGCAATGGTGCAATCTTCGCTCACTGCAACCTCTTGCCTCCTTCCTGGGTTCAAGCTGTTCCCCTATCTCAGCCTCCCAAACAGCTGGGACTATAGGCGCACACTACCATGACCTGCTAATTTTTGTATTTTTAGTAGAGACGGGGTTTCACCATGATGGCCAGGCTGGTCTCGACCTCCTGACCGCAAGTGATCCACCCGCCTTGGCCTCCCGAAATGTTGGGATTACAGGTGTGAGCCACAGTTTTGGATTTTATTTGAACAGTCCTCTTGACTTCTTCCTATTCTGTTGATTACGTATTTTAATGGGAATTTTTCTTTTTTATGTATTTTTTTTTTTTGGCAGGGGAATCTCTCTCTTGGTCAGGTTGGAGTGCAGTGGTGCAATCATGGCTTACTGCAGCCTTGACCTCCTGGGCTCAAGTGATTCTCCTACCTCAGCTTCCTGAGTAACTGGGACCCCAGGAGCATACCACCATGCCTGGCTAATTTTTTTTTTTTTTTAACTTTTAGTAGAGGTGGGGTCTTGCCGTGTTGCCCATGCTATGCTTGAACTTGGCCTCCCAAAATGCTGGGATTACAAGTCTTGTGCCACCATGACCAGCCCTGGGAATTTTTTCTAAACACATCCGTGAACGCATTTAATTCTGGGATAACCGCTAGCTAATATAGTTACAATTTTGGATTCCCTGTGGGACTTAGCTGACTTTCCATTTCCTTGTTTATTTTGGGGTAGCAGTTAATCTGCCCCTTGGCAAAAGAGATGATGCTAAATTAGTTAATGACTCACTCCCAAGGCTGTATTTCACATTTTGCAGAGTTGTGGGAAGCAGAGGAGGGCCGACAGTTTTACTATGAAAGATACTCATTGCAAGTGACTTTGTTTTTGATTCTTGTTACTCTTTGACTGTTTCTCTTTTTCTTTCTTTCTTTCTTTCTTTCTTTCTTTCTTTCTTTCTTTCTTTCAACAACTTAACCTTACAACAACAACAACAACAACAACAACAACAACAACAAGCCGTTTGGCACCCAACATCAAGAACCTGCTTTTGGAAGCAAAGTTGGGGACTTGGAACACTGGCTTTTCCCAGAACCCCAATCCCTTAACTTTAGTATATGATTTTATCTTTCTTTCTTTCTTTCTTTCTTTCTTTCTTTCTTTCTTTCTTTCTAAGCAAATTGGCATAACATCAAGAACCTGCTTTTGGAAGCAAAGTTGGGGACTTGGAACACTGGCTTTTCCCAGAACCCTGTGTCCTTAACTTTAGTATATGATTTTATCTGAATGTGCTCATACCATTTTCTCTAAGTTTACTGCTTTCAAAAGAAATTTTTATGAGGTGCAAGCTAAGTCATTCTCACTGGGTATTTATATATACATATAGTATACATGCTTATATATATCTCCTTATGAGTATGTGTAAGTATATTTTAAGGATATGTGTGTATGTGTGTGTATATATACATATATACAAAACCAAGAGAAAAGAGTAAGAAATTAGTTTTATTGAACATATATGCCTGGCACATTATATATGTTTGTTATTTCATTCAATATAAATGACTGTTCTAAGCCCTTTTAAAGTAGTCTTTCACTTTGTAGTGTTCCAGGACTAGGAATGTATTTTTGGCCTGTGGTGGGCATTCCAGGTACTAATATAAATCAGGAATGTTGCCAGGTATATTTGTATCAGCAAACCCCCCACTGTCTTTTTCTTTTCTTTCTTTCTTTTTTTTTTTTTTTGAGACAGAGTCTCTATCTGTTGCCCAGCCTGGAGTGCAGTGGCACGATCTCTGCTCACGGCAATCTCTGCTCAATGCAATCTCTGTCTCCCAGGTTCAATCGATTCTCCTGCCTCAGCCTCCCAAGTAGCTGGGACTACAGGTGTGTGCCACCATGCCTGGCTAATTTTTTGTGTTTTTAGTAGAGAGGGTTTCACCATGGAAGCCAGGATGGTCTCAATCTCCTGACCTCGTGATCTGCCCACCTTGGCCTCCCAAAGTGTTGGGATTACAGATGTGAGCCACTGCGCCCAGCCTGCAAAACCCTTTTAATGAAGTCCCCTTCGACTCTAATTCTGAAATGGAATTGTGAATATTAATATGTTTTCAATTTTTTCATATACCATGGGTATAATTAAATGCTATTATATGTTGTGCCATGCTAGTATCATTATGTAAAATCTGGGTAAAAGTATTTGATTTGCTTAAGATTATGATAGCTTTTTTCTTTTTTTGAGATGGAGTCTTGCTCTGTCACGCAAGTGGTGGGATCTTGGCTCACTGCAACCTATGCCTCCTGGGTTCAAGATACTCTCTTACCTCAGCTCCCGAGTAACTGAGATTACAATTACAGGCTTCTGCCACCATGCCTGGCAAATTTTTGTATATTTAGTAGAAGTGGGGTTTCGCCATGTTGGCCAGACTGGTCTTGAACTCCTGACCTCAAGTGATATGCCCGCCTTGGCTTCCCAAAATGCTGGGATTACAGGCATGAGCCACCGTGCCCAGCCAGATTATAATAACTGAATACTTCACAAGATGCAATACAGATTAAGTTTAGATATAAGATTATTGCATTATATCTAAGATGTTGAGATTTGGTTTAAAGTTGGTATTTAATGATAATGCAATAAAAAGCACTTATTGAAGGCCTAAAGATTGTGAATGCTTTAAAATCCCATTTAAATTAGCAGTTACTGCCTGGGTGCAGTGGTGGGTGCCTGTATTCTCAGCTACTCAGGAGGCAGAAGCTGGAGAATTGCATAAACCTGGGAGGCTTCAGTGAGCTGAGATCATGCCACTGCACTCCAGCTTGGGCAACAGAGCAAGACTCTTGTCTCAAAATAAATAAATAAATAAATTAGCAGTTATCTTGAGAATGAATTTTATCTGACCCTATAGGTTATTCAGTACCTTGATGTTAGGTTTTAGAGTAAAGAGGAGATTGCTTCGTTGGTCTTGAGGTTAGAGCAGTCTTCATGACAGCAAGGACAGAGATCTAAAGGGAAAGGCTTTTTCAAATGGGATCATTTTACTTACGGAAGAGATGCTCATTTTATTTTATTTTTATATTTTATTTTATTTTATTTTGAGATGGAGTCTTGCTGTGTTGCCCAGGCTAGAGTGCAGTGGGGCGATATTGGCTCACTGTAACCTCTGCCTCCTGGGTTCATGCGATTCTCCTGCCTTAGCCTCCCGAGTAGCTGGGATTACAGGCATGCGCCACCATGCCCAGCTAATTTTTGCATTTTTAGCAGAGAGGGGGTTTCGCCATGTTGACCAGGCTGGTCTCGAAGTCCTGACCTCAAGCAATCCACCCACCTCGGCCTCCTAAAGTGCTGGGATTACAGGCATGAGTCATCGCGCTGGGCCAGATGCTCATCTTTAAGTAATGGGCACTTTATTGTAAGGATGTGTGAAAATAGGAAAACTGGGACTGTTCCACATTTGGGCTTCATGGAACCCGGAAAGGGCTGCATAAGCAGTTCGCTTTGGGAAGAGACAGCCTTTCGCGCAGCTGAACATGGTTTTGGGAACTGGAGGTTCTTCTAGATCCTGATTTTTCTTCTTGCTCCCCACCCCAGCAACAGTTTTCTGATTTCTTATCCTGTTGTCCCCCATTGGTGTGACTATTCTGTCTCTTCTTTCTGTCTCTGTTCTGTGGTTCTAGTTTGAACTGCCTCAGGGATGAGCTCTTACTGGTTCAGCTAACTCTCACTGCTCTGTTGAGCTAAGCTTTTGCACCAACTGGACCACTGGGCAACCTAGAGATCGTTGGTTGCCCTTGGCGTCCGATACTCACTTCTGGTCTGTCAGCTTTGGATGATGTGGTGGGGTCCCTGGGAAGAGCACATTGCCAACTGTGAGAAGGAGCTTCCTCCAGTCCCCTGCCCTGCCCTGCCCCTATTCTTACCAGGAAAGTCTTCCCCAGAAGGGACTGCGGGGAGTGGTAGTCATTTTGATGTTTGACCTGTCCAGTATATTGTTTGTTTGTTTGTTTTTGAGACAGAGTCTAGCTCTGTCGCCCAGGCTGGAGTGCAGTGGCATAATCTCAGCTCACTGCAACCTCTGCCTCCCCAGTTCAAGTGATTCTCCTGCCTCAACCTCCTGAGTAGCTGGGATTACAGGCGTCCACCACCACACCCAACTAATTTTTGTATTTTTAGTAGAGACAAGGTTTCACTGTGTTGGCCAGGCTGGTCTCAAACTCTTTACCTTGTGATCTGCCCTCCTCAGCCTCCCAAAATGCTGGGATTACAAATGTGAGCCACCACGCCTGGCCTGATATTGTTTGTTTATTCAACTACAGGATATAATTTATCTATTTAAAAGCACCATAAAAATGAAGTCAGTTGACTGGGAAATGATTTGAAATACATGCCTGGCTGCTAACAACGGGCAAAACACGAACTACAAATGGCATATAAGCAGATAAGAAGAACTATTTAACCTCATGGTGAGGGGTCACACAACTGCAAATTAAAACTGTAAAAAACTTAGTAATGATCAGGGCGCAGGGTGGTGTAGCAGTTAAGAGCCCAAACTGATGTGAGACTCAGCTTGACCAAGCACTAGCTGTCAGTCACTTAAACTCTGAGCTTCAAATTAATAATAATAATGATTTCTATCAACTTTATCCCCCTCCATATGTAGCTGGATATATTTATTTATTTAGCAGAGACAGGGGTTTTGCCATGTTGCCCAGCCTGGTCTCAAACTCCTGGGCTTAAGCCGTCTTCCCGCCCTGGCCTCCCGAAGTGCTGGCATTATGGGCATAAGCCACTACACCTGGCAGAATTTTAGTTTTTATAAAAATTCAAGTTATTTGGTTTTGTGACTCTGTTGCCTTCTGCAGAAATGAAGCTGTAGTCATTTCTGGAAGGAAACTGGCCCAGGAGATCAAGCAGGAAGTGCGGCAGGAGGTAGAAGAGTGGGTGGCCTCAGGCAACAAGCGGCCACACCTGAGCGTGATCCTGGTTGGCGAGAATCCTGCAAGTCACTCCTACGTCCTCAACAAAACCAGGGCAGCTGCAGATGTGGGTATGTGTCCTTTTGAGACCTCGAATGCTGTTCAGTTGAGGTTTATATGAGGCAAAGTCCATTGTAATTTATGATTTCTTTTTTCTGATTAGGAAACCCAAGCAGAGGAGGCTAATGTGATTGAACTGTGTCCCAAAACTTTGTCATAGGAAATCAGACTGTATCTTTCGGGGTTTATAGACTAGGACAGGAGATACTTACTGGTTGGTATTCTCTGTGGCTTCTGGAAAGAATATAAGGCACGTTCTGTTCTTAGTCTTTCCATTTGATAGGTGACCTTGAATACATTTTACGTTTGCTTTCCTTGAGCAGTAATGGGTCTCCAGCGGAGGTGTTCGAGTGTTTGCAGTTTAAAGCCTTAGAGGCTTAGGGGGCATGATTGAACAATACAGTATTAGGAGATCTCAGTGATGAGGTCAGGAACACAGTCATAGATTTGAAGGAAATGACTCTGACTTCTGGGAAGGAGCTTTCTAGTTCTTCACCAATTGGTTCTAAAACCAAACGTGCAGTTTAGAAGCAGTTCGGGTGTGGATGATGGGGTTTGTGTTCTAGGCCTCGTGGTACCACAGATTACTATGTGTCTGTGGACAAGAGGTGGGTGGGCAGACTCAGATATGCCTCTGCCTGCCCATCTGTGGGCCCGTGGTCTGAGCATGAGCAGCAGGTGGCCTTTCCTTCTGAAGGGCTGTGAAACCACTGGCATGGCTGGGAGGGGTTACTGGCCTGTGAGTCCGTGGCTTCCTCTATTCTTTACCATTGAGGATTGAGGCCTCTGCTCTTTTAATTGAAAGCCCTTAGAAACCTCTAGAAAATGGCAAGCCATGGCTTTTTTTTTTTTTTTTTTTTTTTTTTTTTGAGATGGTGTTTCGCTCTTGTTGCCCAGGCCAGAGGACAATGGCGCAATCTCGGCTCTCCACAACCTCCGCCTCCTGCCTCAGCCTCCCGAATAGCCGGGATTACAGGCATGTGCCACCATGCCTGGCCAATTTTGTATTTTCAGTTAAGATGGGGTTTCTCCCTGTTGGTCAGGCTGGTGTCAAACTCCCCGACCTCAGGTGATCCGCCCGCCTCGGCCTCCCAAAGTGCTGGGATTACAGGCGTGAGCCACTGTGCCTGGCCAAGCCAATGGCATTTTAAGACATTGAGAGGTAGGGTGGTGCAGAAAAAAAGAACATGGATTTTGAAACAAGAAAGACTGGCTGTATTATTAGCTCGCTTATTTATTTATTTATTTAGACATGAGTCTTGCTTGCTCTGTTGAGCTGGCTGGAATGCAGTGGTGCGATCTCAGCTCACTGCAACTCCCACCTCCCAGGTTCAAGCGATTCTCCTGCCTCAGCCTACTGAGTAGCTGGGACTACAGGTGCCCACCACCATGCCCGGCAAATGTTTTGTATTTTTAGTAGAGACGGGTTTTCACCGTGTTAGCCAGGATGGTCTCCATCTCCTGACCTCGTGATCCGCCGGTCTTCGCCTCCTAAAGTGCTGGGATTACAGGCATGAGCCACGCGCCTGGCCTAGCTCGCTTATTTTTAAATCTCTCTGAGCCTCAGTCTGTCTGTAAAATAAGGTTAATGAGGATTGCATAGAATGAGGTATACAGGATGTGTTAAGCTAGTATTCTCTAGTGTATATATTTGTGAAGTTACTTTTTTAGGTTCCTTGAGCTACTTCAGCTTCTAGGGATGGGTGTGATGATACAAAACCTGTATGGTAGCCAAGTATGGTAGGCAACATAGCAGTGCTCATTAAATGCCTCAAAAATTTTTTTAACCTCAAAATTTCCTATAATAGGAATAAACAGTGAGACAATTGTGAAACCAGCTTCAATTTCAGAGGAAGAATTGTTGAATTTAATCAATAAACTGAATAATGATGATAATGTAGATGGCCTCCTTGTTCAGCTGCCTCTTCCAGGTGAGTTTTGGACTCCACCATTTAAATGATTGCTGCTGTTTCTGCTCCTCTCCCTCCCTCTCTTCCTCTCCCTCCCTCTCTGCCTCTCCTTCCCCCTCCCCCTCCCTCTCCCTCTCCTTGTCTCACTCTGTCACCCAGGCTGGAGTGCAGTGGTACAATCATAGCTTATTGCATGCTCAAGCTCCTGGGTTCAAGGGATCCTCCTGCCTCAGCCTCCCACATAGCTGGGACTATAGGTGTGTGCCACCATGCCCAGCTACTTTTTATATTTTTCCTAGAAATGGAAGTCTTTCTGTGTTGCCTGGGGTGGTCTTGGACTCCGTGCTTCCCAAGTGCTGGAATTACAGGCATGAACTACCATGCCCTACCTAAAATGATTTCTGAGGAGTAAAAAGGCCTTGTTATTTTATACACCTGGCTCTTCATGTGGATTTGGCTTAAAGGCAAAGTAAAGGCAAAAGAGTGAATATTTTATTAGAATGGGACAGACCAACTCAGAATACCCATTACCCCTTGATTTAGTATTGTGGTCTTGATATAAAGGACAGTGGAGGGAAGCAACTGATAGATGATACTGGCTTTGCTATTGGTGTTTGGCTTTGCTTATGCGAGTTCTTCCATGCAGATGAAGTACATCTCGAGGCAAACTGTAGAAGAATGGATTTCCTTGAGGAAGCAGATAAGCTGGAGTCAGGCAGTGCTGACTGTGAGGTGGTGATTTAAGGCAACTGCCGATTTCTTTTTCAGAGCATATTGATGAGAGAAGGATCTGCAATGCTGTTTCTCCAGACAAGGATGTTGATGGCTTTCATGTAATTAATGTAGGGCGAATGTGTTTGGACCAGTATTCCATGTTACCGGCTACCCCATGGGGTGTTTGGGAAATAATTAAGCGAACTGGTAGGTGTATCCCAGAATTGTAAGTCTGTTAATATTATAAAAGTAGTACCTGCAAATGGTAAAAACTCATAATACAGTCCCAAAGAGTGGAAACCCCACCCCATATCCTCTAGTCACACTCCCCAGAGTTTACCTCTCAACAGTTTTTTTTTTTTTTTTTTTTTTTGGAGACAGGGTCTTGCTCTGTGACCCAGGCTGGAGTGCAGAGGCGCAATCTTGGCTCACTGCAGCCTCCGCCTCCCGGGTTCAAGTGATTCTTGTGCTTCAGCCTCCTGAGTAGCTGGGACTACAGGCACACGCCACCATGCCCAGCTAATTTTTTTATTTCTAGTAGAGACAGGTTTCACCACATTGGCCAAGCTGGTCTTGAACTAACCTCAAGTGATCCACCCCCCCTCGCCTCCCAAAGTACTAGGATTAGAGGCATGATCCATCGTGCCTGCCCTTAACAGTTGCCTATGACAGTTTTTGCTTTTAATCTGGAAGCCTCGGTGAGGGAAACTTTCTTTTTTTCTTTTTAATCTTTTCTTTAAGAGTCAAAGGTTTCACCATGCTGCCAGGCTGGTCTCAAACTCCCGGCCTCAAGCAGTTCTCCTACCTTAACCTCCCTGGCCTCAAGCAGTTCTCCTACCTTAACCTCCCTGGCCTCAAGCAGTTCTCCTACCTTAACCTCCCTGGCCTCAAGCAGTTCTCCTACTTTAACCTCCCTGGCCTCAAGCAGTCCTCCCTCCTGCTGGGATTACTGGTGTGAGCCACCACCCCAGCCCTCAGTGAAGGAAATTTAAGATTTAATAGTGGTGACAGTGCACATTCCTGTAACATTTTGTAGCCTATAGTATGCTTTCTCCTGTTTTCTTTTAGCCCTTATGTGTAGCAAGTTACAGCTCCAGTTGACTGAGGAGGCAGTAAGCTCAGTGACTTCACTATCAAAATTGGCTTCATGTTCTAGGCCATCTGACTTTGTTTTGCTTTGGACTGGCACTACTTTTAATGTAAATACATATATTTTTATAGGTATTCCAACCTTAGGGAAGAATGTGGTTGTGGCTGGAAGGTCAAAAAATGTTGGAATGCCCATTGCAATGTTACTGCACACAGATGGGGCACATGAACGTCCCGGAGGTAAGGAAATTGCTTTCAGGGAACACTGTCATTTTTTCCCCATGTAAGAACTCTCAGAAGTCATCCTGTGCATGTTTGGAAGTATTAACTGTGTTATACTTTGTATTTGTTGAAATTTTGTTAACAGATAATTCAGGGAGTAACCTTTGTAGAGAAGCTACACCCAGTGTCACCTGAGTTTCTTTATTATTCATTTATCATGTAACTAGCTTCAGAAATAAACTTAAGTTTTGAGTATAAGCATGATTGTAGGCAATTAGAAAATTTCAGGTATAGCTTTGATAGCTGGAGCTAAGGAGCAGTTCTTATTCAAAGATACTGTGTCATTTAGTGGAAAAAATCTTAAGCCGTTGGAAAGGATTGAATTGATATGACTGTAATGTGTCCTGTCAAGTTCTGTTAATTGGTTCTAAGGTAAAGCCTCGTCAATCTGTTATCACATAATTATTGTAATAATGACCTTACATGATTATATCAGAAATAATAGCAAAACTATACTTTCAATAATCTTTCAACATACTTAAAACCACCTTGAGTAATTTCAGTGATATTTTGCTTAGAAAAGGTAAAATTCTTGAAAGGCTTTAAAAATATGATGAATAAATTTAATTATATGACTCAAAACAGTCGAGCTGGGACCAATGGTTTAAAGCTATATGAAATTAGGTATTAATTTTAAAAAAGTAAATGACAATTAGCTGTCCAGAAAATGTGGCACAAGCTATTAAGTCAGTTTTTTTTTGTTTTTGTTTTTGGAGACGGAGTCTTGCTCTGTTGCCCAGGCTGGAGTGCAGTGGCACAATCTTGGCTCACTGCAACCTCCACCTCCCAGGTTCAAGCGATTCTCGTGCCTCAGCCTCCCAAGAAAGCTGTGATTACAGCCATGCGCCACCATGCCCAGCTAATTTTTGTATTTTTAGTAGAGATGGGGTTTCACTATGTTGGCCAGGTTGGCCTTGAACTCCTGACCTCATGATCTGCCCACCTTGGCCTCCCAAAGTGCTGGGATTACAGGCGTGAGCCACCGCACCATTGTTGAGTTTCTACAGTGACTTGACTAGTTGAGACCTAATCCAGTCCCAGCTTTGTGTCAGAAATCAAGACATCTATTGTTTTCTTTCCAGGTGATGCCACTGTTACAATATCTCATCGATATACTCCCAAAGAGCAGTTGAAGAAACATACAATTCTTGCAGATATTGTAATATCTGCTGCAGGTAAGAACACAATGTGAATGGAGGGAAGGGCTTCACCTCAGAAGAGAAGGTTGTAGAATCATCTTAGAATTCGCCTGCCTAGCTACTATTCATCCTTCCCCTCATGATGATTCTTTGAGCTGCCTACGAAGATGAGGATAGAGTTGTGATTGGAATACTGGTTTCTGGCATTCCATTATAGTCTGGATGGGTGAATGTTATTCCTAAAGCTTCAAAATATTTATATTAATATTTACTGTATAAAGTTTAAACGGTTCCTTTTGTTGCCTGTCAGGAACCAAAATAAATAAATAATAAAAGTAAATGGTTCCTTAGTTAATATTTTTAACAGGTTTTAATAAAACATGTTAATTAGTTCTTCTAGGTCTCTTGAAATTGAAATTAGACAACAGTCTGACAGGTAGACTGTTTTCAGTACTAAGCTGATTTTTCCTTTCTCCATATCCAGGTATTCCAAATCTGATCACAGCAGATATGATCAAGGAAGGAGCAGCAGTCATTGATGTGGGAATAAATAGAGTTCATGATCCTGTAACTGCCAAACCCAAGTTGGTTGGAGATGTGGATTTTGAAGGTAAATGGTAAAATTTTATTTTTAAAAATGAAATCAGTAAGTACTACCTTTCATGGACATTTAGGATAGATTATTTACTTTTTTTTTTTGAGACGGGAGTCTCACTCTGTTGCCTAGGCTGGAGTGCAGTGGCGCGATCTTGGCTCACTGCAACCTCTGCCTCCCGGGTTCAGGCGATTCTTCTGCCTCAGCCTCCTGAGTAGCTGGGACTCCCAAAGTGTTGGGATTATAGGTGTGAGTCACTGCACCCAGTCCATATGCTTTTCCTTCCCTCAATTCTTGCCTTCCCTCCCTCCCTCCCTCCATCTATCTTCCTCTTCTTTCTTTCTTTCTCTTTCCTCCTCCCTCCCTCCCTTCTCTCTCTCTTTCTTTCCTTTTCCTTTTTTTCTCTATCTTTCTTTCTCTCTCTCTCTCTCCCTCTCTGTCTCTTCCTTCCTTCCTTTCCTTTCTTTCCTTTCTTTCTTTTTTCTTTCTGTCTCTCTTTTTCTTTCTTTTTTTAAAAACAGTCTCATTCTGTCACCCAGGCTGGAGTGCAGTGGCACCATCTCGGCTCAGTGCAACCTCCACCTCACAGCTTCAAGCAATTCTTGTGCTTTCAAGCCTCCCCAGTAGCCAGGATTACAAGCATGTGCCACCACGCCCACCTAATTTTTTGTATTGTTGGTAGAGATGGGGTTTCACCATGTTGGCCACGCTGGTCTGATCACTCCTCAAGTGATCCTCCCACCTTGGCCTTCCAAAGTGCTGGGATTACAGGTGTGAGCCACTGCACCTGGCCTTAGTATGCTTTTCATAAGAATTAGAGAAACCTTTTTAAAATTACAGCCATTCTAGAATTGTTTTAGTTGTTTCATCATAGTGATGGAGAGCAGTTATAAACTTTGCAGGGAATTGTTTTTTTCCTTAGAACTTACTTCATAATTCAAGCAATTTCTTGACTTTTAACAAGTTTGAAAATTTGATGAAGTGATTTTTCTAAACCAAAAAGTGTTAAGAGAGTTCTCATTTTCACACTGAGAGATCACAGGCCTAGAAAGTTAAAATGGTCCAGGAAAAAACCATACCCCTGAAATACTAGAATATACTAGTAGATGTCTCTTTTCAGTTATTTTTTTTTCTTAAGAGGCAGTCTCACTCTTGCCCAGGCTGTAGTACAGTGGTGTGATTTCTGCTCACTGCAACCTCTACCTCCCAGGTTCAAGTGATTCTCCTGCCTTAGACACCCGAGCAGCTAGGATTACAGGCATGTGCCACCACGCCGGCTAATTTTTTGTATTTTCAGTGGAGATGAGTTTGGCTCTGTTGACCAGGTTGGTCTTGAACTCCTGGCCTTAAGTGATCTGCCTGCCTTAGCCTCTCAAAGTGCTAGGATTATAGGTGTGAGCCGCTGCACCTGGCCTCTCCTTTCAGTTCTTAAGATAGAATGGTTTTTGTTTGTTTGTTTGTTTTGAGACGGAGTCTCGCTCTGTCGCCCAGCCTGGAGTGCAGTGGCCGTATCTCAGCTCTGTCGCCCAGCCTGGAGTGCAGTGGCCGTATCTCAGCTCACTGCAAGCTCCGCCTCCCGGGTTCATGCCATTCTCCTGCCTCAGCCTCCCGAGTAGCTGGGACTACAGGCGCCTGCCACCTCGCCCGGCTAGTTTTTTGTATTTTTTTTTAGTAGAGACGGGGTTTCACCGTGTTAGCCAGGATGGTCTTGATCTCCTGACCTCGTGATCCGCCCATCTCGGCCTCCCAAAGTGCTGGGATCACAGGCTTGAGCCACCGTGCCCGGCAAGATAGAATGCTTATCTGAATATATGCTGATAATCCTTTTTTTTTCTTTCCTTTTTTTTTTTTTTTTGAAGCAGGGTCCCTCTCTTTTGCCCAGGCTGGAGTACAGTGGCATGATCTCAGCTCACTGCAGCCTCTGCCTCCTGGGCTTAAGCAGTTCTCCTGCCTCAGCCTCCTGAGTAGCTGGTACTATAGGCACATGTCACCTTGCTTGGCTAATTTTTGTATTTTTTATAGAGATGGGGTTTCACCACGTTGCCTAGGCTGGTTTCAAACTCCTGGCCTCAAACAATCTCCCCCACCTCACACTCTGCCTCAGTCCCCCAAAGTGCTGGGATTACAGGCATGAACCACTGCACCTGGCCTATGCTGATAATCCTATTCCTAGCTTTCTGTTTTTATTAAAGCAGTCAAACCCATGCCTAGGTATGTAAGGATTTTCACTTTAACATTAGGTTAATTTTTTTTTTTTTCTCACTTTTAAAAAATTACTGTGCTTTCTGCTTTGGACAAATTATACTTAAATTAATAAAATGCTGTAGGCAGCTATTGAGGTAATGCTTATTATTATTATACTTACAACTCCCACGCAGTTAACCTACTAGATGTTTAATAGATTTCTTTATAGGTTACTTAGATGTATAAATATTCCTTTAACAATTCTGTATGTGCATGTTATTTTACAGTGTATTCACAAAACCTTGAATGATGTAGATGTGATTTTTGAGTTTTATGCTTATGTATGTTACTTTTTCCTTGCATGCTTGTTTCATAATATATTAAAGTACACACATGTCCTTTGCCATAACTAAAGCAGCCTGCCTGTCTTGTTTCTATGTAGGAGTCAGACAAAAAGCCGGGTATATCACTCCAGTTCCTGGAGGTGTTGGCCCCATGACAGTGGCAATGCTAATGAAGAATACCATTATTGCTGCAAAAAAGGTGCTGAGGCTTGAAGAGCGAGAAGTGCTGAAGTCTAAAGAGCTTGGAGTAGCCACTAATTAACTATTGTGTCTTCTATGTCACAAACAGCACTCCAGGCCAGCTCAAGAAGAAAAGCAGGCCAATAGAAATGCAATATTTTTAATTTATTCTACTGAAATGGTTTAAAATGATGCCTTGTATTTATTGAAAGCTTAAATGGGTGGGTGTTTCTGCATGTACCTCTGCAGTACCTCACCAGGGAGCATTCCAGTATCATGCAGGGTCCTGTGATCTAGCCAGGAGCAGCCATTAACCTAGTGATTAATGTGGGAGACATTACCATAAGGAGAATGGACGCTTCATTTTGTCAAACTCAGTTACACATTTGCCTTTTCTAGGATTGCATTTCCCAAGTGCTATTCTAATAACAGTTGAATACTCATTTTAGGTACCAAACCTTTTGAGTTCAACTGACCAAACCAAAGGAAAAGTATTGCTAGAGAAAATTAGGGAAAAGGTGAAAAAGAAAAAATGGTAGTAATTGAGCAGAAAAAAAATTACTCTAATTTATATGTGTATTGATTGGTAACCAGATTTATCTAAGTAGACCTGAATTGGCTAGGAAAAAAGAAAAACTACATGTTAATCGTTTTCCTAAGCTGTCTTTTTGAGGCTTAGTCATTGGGAAAATGTTTAGGATTATTCCTTGCTATTAGTACTCATTTTATGTATGTTACCCTTCAGTAAGTTCTCCCCATTTTAGTTTTCTAGGATTGAAAGGCTTCTTTTATGTATTATTCATGTGTGTTGTCATATTTGGCTTTTGCTATATACTTTAACTTCATTGTTAAATTTTTGTATTGTATAGTTTCTTTGGTGTATCTTAAAACCTATTTTTGGAAAACAAACTTAGCTTGATAATCATTTGGGCAGCTTGGGTAAGTATGCAACTTACTTTTCCACCAAAGAACTGTCAGCAACTGCCTGTTTTTCTGTGATGTATGTACCCTGTTGACTTTTCCATAAATTTTTTTAAGAGTTTGAGTTAATATTGAATTTAATTAGATTTTCTGATTAAAGGGTTTTTTTTTTCTTTTTTAATAAAACACATCTGTCTGGTGTGGTATGAATTTCTGAAATTCTGTCTTCCTATGACTCTTAGTTGCGACTGAACCAGAGTTTTTTTCTCATTTAATCAATGTAGATATTCCTATATTCAGTAACACTTACTCCTATAGCCTTAAATAGATAATTTTTTTTTTTTCTTTTTTCTTTTTTTTTTGTAGAGATGGGGTCTTGCTATGTTGCCTGGGCTGGTATTGAACTCCTGGCCTCAAGCAATCAATCCTCTTGCCTCAGCCTCCCAGAGGGCTGGGATTACAGGCCTGGGCCACCCATGCCCAAACAGAGGTTTAAAGAGCTTTGGCGAAACCAGCCTCGTCCTCCAGCCTTTTTTTTTTTTCTGAGACTGAGTCTCGCTCTGTTGCCCAGGCTGGAGTGTAGTGGCATGATCTCGGGTCACTGCAACCTCTGCCTCTTGGGTTCAAACAATTCTTGTGCCTCACCCTCCTGAGTAGCTGGGATTACAGGTGCATGCCTCCATGCCCTGCTAATTTTTGTGTTTTTAGTAGAGATGGGGTTTCATCACGTTGACCAGGCTGATCTCAAACTCCTGACCTCAAGTGATCCACCTGCCTCGGCCTCCCAAAATGCTAGGATTACAGGTGTGAGCCACCGCACTGGGCCTGTCCTACAGTCTTATATCCCAAAAGATTGTGCCGAGCTAGGAGCTTAATCTGTTAAATACTTGAGGTGGGGGTAGGTGTCTTGTCTATTTTGGCTTTTGGCTTTCAGGCAAGCAGAAGTAGCTCCTGCTCTAGGCAGCTTGAGGCAGAAAGAGAAAGAACAGTTGAGTTGACCTACCTCCATCCTTGTTCTTCTGCCAGCTGGCGTTATTCTTTTCATAGTTCTCTGGAGTTGAAAGAAGTTTCGATAGTTTGTTGGAGATGTTTTTGTAGGTGAGGTATAGCTCATGTCTATAAGCCATGCCTGCTTACTTACCTAGATATTAAACATGGAGCTAGACGAGCAGACAGCATTAAATTTTATTGAATTACAGTTACAAGTGGAACAAATGACTGACTGACTGCATGGAGAAGTATTATGTCAACCTGTTAAAAGCTATGGAGATTAAAATGTTCATGTATATACAAAATATAAATGACATATAAGGTAAAATTACAGTGATCGATTTACAACAAAGAAATTAACAGTAATTTTCCAGCTTGTCTGATTAATCAAGCAGGTTTACTCTTGAATCCATAGCATTTCTACAATTTAATTTGGACAAAGTTCTATTCCAAATCAGCCAGGTTTTAAAACTGAAATGTTAAGGGTGGATTGTTAGCTTCCCCAGGATTGGAGCGGATGATAATAAATACTTTTTAGAAACATTAATTATTATTATTTATAAGACATGGGCTCCAGCTGTCTCCTTGGCTGGAGTGCAGTGGCATGATCATAGTTCACTGCAGCCTTGAACTCCTGGGCTTAAAGGATCGTCCTGCCTCAGCCTCCAAAATGGCTGGGACTACAGGCGTGTGCCAGCATGCCTGGCTAATTTTTAAACATTTGTTTAGAAATGGGTCTCACTATGTTGCCCAGGCTGGTGTTGACCTCCTGACCTCTACTGATCCCCCAACCTCAGCCTCCAAAGTAGCGGGATTACAGGTGTGAGCCACTGTGCTGGCAAGAATTTATACTTAAGCAAAGGAGATGGTTCTGGATTAGCTAAGAAATTCTGCTCTCAGTAGGAGTAGAGGTTTAGAGCTTTACCTCTTGGCAGTATCCCTTGGAAGGGAGCTCTGAGATTAAATGTAATCAAACACTTATTGAGAGCTTTCTGTGGACCGGGCACTCCACTAAACTTGGGATTACAGAGGCCAGTTACCTGTCCTGATCTGTTAATGATCTAGTGTCATTTTTCTTTAAAAAAGAAAGCACCTGCATTTGTCATCTTGAGCAAATATAGTAACCAAAGTGATTTACTCAAGGTTCGAATCATAGTTGTTTTGGAGAAAGTAAGTGTCAGATGCACTGTGGCTGTCGGGGTCATAGTAGGCATTAAATAAACATGGTTGGTGTTCATTAAATGTGGACTGAAGGTAAAATGACTGATCTTAAGTTTCATGAGGAATAGGTTTGCTTCATTGAAACTGGTTTTTATCTTCCCAAATAGTTTTCAATCATTCCTTTAAAGTACTAGGTTGATTAATATTGCGAAGTTATAATGTAAAATGTGATACTACCTCTGTCTAACCTGTATTGTTCACATAAATGAGAGTTTGACTTTGGGACTAAATGTTGAAAATTTGCAGGAAAGACCCACCCAAATGTATAATGAAATGTGATTCCAGGTATGAAAAACCAGTGATACTAATTTAAATGATCATTTTGTTGATTTAACGTGTGGTTTCAAATTTCACTTTAACAAGAACTATTTTATTTTAGAAACATTTATCCACTCAGATGGATTGGTTCTTTCATTAACAGAGTTTTGGAACTGGCTTTTCAATCTAGGAAAGCCCCAGTCACACTTCTGGAGCAAGGCCCATACTGCAGATGGTTCAAACTTTTTGTTTGTTTAGAGACGGAGTCTCTCTCTGTTGCCCAGGCTGGAGTGCAGTGGCATCATCTCGGCTCACTGCAACTTCTGCCTCCCAGGTTCAAGCGATTCTCTTGCCTCAGCCTCCCTAATAGCTGGGACTACAAGCACATGCTGCCACGCCCAGCTAATTTTTTGTATTTTAGTAGAGATGGGGTTTCACCGTGTTGCCTAGGCTGGTCTTGAACTCCTGAGCTCAGGCGATTCGCCTGCCTTGGCCTCCCACAGTACTATGATTATAGGTGTGTGCCACTGTGCCCAGCTGGTTCAAACTTTTCATATAAACCTTAGGAAACTGGATGTGACAGGGAGAAAAGATATGACCTTTTCAGCATTTTTTAATATGCAGAATTGCCAAATATTCCAAAGATGGTCTAGTGACATAAGAGTATATTACGAGTTCGTTTGAGAACATCTGTATTTCAATCGAACCTTTAAACAATTTTAAATTGGTATTTGTTTTAAATATGAATTGACTATTGCCCTTTTATCTTAGCTATGGTTTGGGGAAGCAAGCATTTTTTTTATTTCCAAAGAAATGTTAGAATTTCTATGCCGGACTGCATTTGAAAATAAAATATAATATTTAGCTTTAGGTATTTTAATTACTACGAAAGGAAGGGGAGAGCTTTGCATCTAAGCAGTACTTTTCATCAACAGATCTCCAGTTTTCTATTAGGCAGAAGGACTCCCTCTGTTTGATAAAGAAGGCAACAGGCACAGAGAAGTTAAGACCCTCCCAATGAAGACTAAGCCAGGCTCTCCATTCCCATCTGGGAGAAGCTGCTTCATCCTAGAGGGTGGTCTCACTGTCAGTTTCTCTTCGGTATTGGTCCATGTCTGTGAAGTCATAGTCTGACTCCATCTCTATCTTCACCTGTGGCACCATGAACACTGGGTTCCGTGAGTAGTTGAAAGCAGGTGAAGCCGGACAGGAGATTTTGAAGTGCAAGGTGATGCTGAACAAGAAGTAGGAAAGAAGGATTATGTAGCTCTTGGTGTTTTGAACCCATCCCCTAGAGCAGGGCTCTAATGCAAATACTTCTGTCTTCACTTCTGAACTCTCAGCACATGCCAGAATGAGCAGTTTCCTATTGGCTTGGCCTTCAGCCATAGTTATGCACCTGGTCTCGCCCTGTAAACCTATTTTCACATTGCTGCCAAGGTGAACTTTTGAAATCACAAATTTGGTGATTCCTCATTGTTCAAAAAATCTAAGCTCTTTAGTGTGAGAAGACAGGAGTGTCTGTCTTCTCACAAACAAACACAGCCTTCTGTGTTTGTAGTCCTGCCTGCTTAGTTTGCCCTATCCATTGCAGTGTTCTTTGCTCTTTGGGTGTGTGTGTGTGTGTGTGTGTGTGTGTGTTTTCAAATGGTACTTCGCGCCTGTGTCCACTTCCTGCAATGCCTTTCCTTTTCTTTATTCTGCCCCGCTCTATGTCTGGTAGATTCCAGTTTCTCTTTCCTAGATTCTCAAAACAAGGCTAGTCTCTCCCCGTGTGCTCCGTTATTCTTACACAGGGTGCTCTTTGTTTGCATGCCAGTCTTTCTACATCCCCAGGGATTAAGCATCGCACCTGGTGGATCATTGATGCTTAGTCTTTGTTAAACCAGACCACGTTGCAGAGCCTTTCACTGAAACAGAATCTTGCTATTTAGTGGTCTTTGCCTCCATATGTTTTCATAAATTCAGTAAAACACCAACGAGGTTGGGAGATGCCATCTCCAGTTACCAAATTTTCTTCATTTCTGACCTTGTCTTAGGGCTTTGTGTAATTTAACAGGGTTTTGGAAACCCTTAACCTGGTCCAAATTTTCTCTCTACTGCCTGAAATTGGGAGCAGTTAGCCAATTTCGTGTAGATTATTTTATAAATGAAAATAAGATAGACTGCTTTCTCCTAATACTGGTGTGTACTACTGTATAATGATCAATGGCATCACAGGTATAGGAGCCTGCCTGGGGATGTGGGATGAGAAGGAAAGCAGAGATGTAAATGGGTCAGGTGACACTGGGCTAGATCATCCTTGGGACTGCTGCTTAGGGAGGGTTGAACTGGGGAAAAGTCTGTTGTTTCACCCTGGCATTGGAGTAGCCGCTTTGCCTTATAATTCAGAAGATCCCCCGTCCCCTGTTTCCCCAAAAATCTCTTGGATGAGTGCCCTCTGTGCCTGGAGACTGATCTTCTAGACTTGGGATAGCCTGTGCTGTAATTACTGTTTGATCCCTGTCCATTCTAGGGCACAAGGTAGGAGTGGGACTGCCCCTGGCATCTTCCCAAGTAACAATGAAGTAAAGCCTTTCTTGCCTCTGAACTCCTCTTTTCTGTGTTTGAGCCCACTGTGTCATCATCAGGGAGTCTCACCTTTTTCATGGGTGGCTTCTCATGAAGAACAGAATCACATTGTTGGCATGGGGGCTCCTGGCAACTGGCCTGGAACTTATTCTTAACAGTTCCCATCTCGAGTTGATTTCTGATGTTAGCTTTGATGTTGATCTCTGATGTTGGCTTTCCTCCATACCCTTTCTGACCTTTGCTAATTAGCCCTGCTGTTAATTCATTCTACAGAGTACCCTGGGGTTTTGATCCTTAGCGTTCATTTATCCTGGCTTTCAGTGATATTACACTTAAGCCATGCCTAGTTTTCCTGCTTTTTTTTTTTTTTTTTTTTTTTTTGAGATGGAGTCTCTCTCTGTCACCCAGGCTGGAGTGCAGTGGCGCAATCTCAGCTCACTGCAAGCTCCACCTCCCAGGTTCGCACCATTATCCTGCCTCAGCCTCCCAAGTAGCTGGGACCACAGGCGCCCGCCACCACGCCCGGCTAAGTTTTCGTATTTTTAGTAGAGACAGAGTTTCACCGTGTTAGCCAGGATGGGCTCAATCTCCTGACCTTGTGATCTGCCGACCTCAGCCTCCCAAAGTGCAGGGACTACAGGCGTGAGCCACCGTGCCTGGCTTCTGTTTTCTTTTATCAATATTAATTTTTTTTTTTTTTTTTTTTGAGACGGAGTCTTGCTCTGTCGCCCAGGCTGGAGTGCAGTGGCGGGATCTTGGCTCACTGCAAGCTCCGCCTCCCAGGTTCACGCCATTCTCCTGCCTCAGCCTCCCCAGTAGCTGGGACTACAGGCGCCCGCCACCTCGCCCAGCTAATTTTTTTGTATTTTTTTTAGTAGAGACGGAGTTTCACTGTGTTAGCCAGGATGGTCTTGATCTCCTGACCTCATGATCCGCCCACCACGGCCTCCCAAAGTGCTGGGATTACAGGCATGAGCCACTGTGCCCGGCCACAACATTTACTTTGAATTTTTGTTCTACCTAGTCTTTTGTAAGAATTTCCTTTACTAAAGTTGAATACCTTTGTGTGTTGTAACCATATTGTTATGTCAGTAAGAAGACATATTTGTTTCTTGGCCCTGAATGATGAGTCAGGTTTGTCAGCCTTTGACTCCCAGCTGGGGACCAACAAGGGCCTTCTACTGAGAGGACAGCTAGCCTGGGAAATCCTAGACCCTCCACCTTCCCGACCATTTCCCAGTCTCTTACCTAATACACAAGGAGTCTACCTAACAGTGTTTACCTTCGATCAAGTTCTGTGTCACTGAAGGAGGAATCAGAGTGAGTAACTCCAACTGGAAGATCTTTTTCCTGGTAGGAAAATGAAAATGTCAGATGTGGAGCAGTTTTGAGCACCATATTTCTCCGGGCTTCCCCCACCATTTCCTCTCTTTTCCTTCTCTAATCCTGTAGCCAACACTATGCAAGAGGAATACAGGGCCTCAGAAATGTGTGGCTTCGGGCTTAGTTACTCCTTCACCCAGAAGGCTCTCAGCCAGGGCTAGGGGGTGTGAGGCATGGGAGGGCCAGGGAGGAGAGAGATGGGAGTCAGGGAGGAGCCTGAGAAACTCAAGATCTTGAGGTACTTATGAGGGATACTGCTGATGGGAAGGACGCCCTGGCCACCCACCCCTAATCTGTCTTTGAGGGTGGCAAGCCCTGTATCAGAAGCACCGGGCTTGGGACTAAGGTAGGGATCTTTCAGAAGACTCGGGACAGGCTATGTTGCCTGGATGACAGGACTGGCCACCTATGGGGAGCTGAGGCTGGGAGGCGTTAAAGGCAGCAATAGAATCTCCCAGGATTTCCGTAAGCAATGCCCAATCCCTCCCAGGCAGCCTTCCTCTCAGCTGTCTGCTGAGAAGATGCTGAGGATTCACACAGAGGCACAACACAACCACCACGGGGATCTCCAGTTATGCCTGACTAACCCAAGTGCTATGCTACCTATTTCTCTAAAGGGGAAAGCTTGGTTTTGAGCCCTCAACCATTTCAACAGCCACTGGAAAACAGGGGAGGCCTGGTGGGCCATGTTTGGACTGATGTGGTTTGAAACAACACAAAAGAGGGCCAGGAGATGCCACAGGGATCTGGGGACACGTAGGGAAAGGAGGGAATGAAGGATTTTGCCTTAACTAAAGTGAGGATTAGTCATTCAAGTCTGCAGGCTTTGCTCTGGGGTTTCCCATCTGGTTGGAGTACCAGTCCTGGTGGCCCAGTTCTCTTTGATCTCTGCCTAGGACAAAGGTCTTCTAGTGCAGGGTCCTAAACCCCCAGGCCATGGAACAGTAGCAGAACCAGGCCGCACAGCAGGAGGTGAGTGTGGGCAAGCAAGCATTAACCCCTGTGCTCTACCTCCGGTGGGATCAGTGGCAGCAATAGATTCTCATAAGGGTGAGAACCCTATTGTGAACTGTCCATACGTGGGATCTAGGTTGTGTACTCCTTAAGAGAATCTGAGGTGGAACAGTCTCATCCCAAAACCATTCCCCACTCCCCTACTGGTCTGTGGAAAAATTATCTTCCACAAAACTTTTCCCTTATGCCAAAAAAGTTGAAGACTGCTGCTGTAGCATCCAAAATGATTAGATCCCCCTGAGTTACAGATGAAAGTTCCTAGGGGAAAGACATGGAGGATTAGTAGTAAGTAGGAAGGGAGAGACACCATGTGTTTTACTTACTGGCAATGCAGTGGATACCGTTTTGGGGATCTGATTGGACACTTTCCATGGGAATCTTTATAACTGAGGGAGGAGGGAACTGGGGCTGAAGAAAAACAGTGGGAAAAGAGGATAAACACCAACACAACAACTTGGCTTTCTTTCCTTTTTTTTTTTTTTTTTTTTTTTTGAGACAGAGTCTTGCTTTATTGCCCAGGCTGGAGTGCAGTAGCGCGATCTCAGCTCACTGCAACCTCTGCCTCCTGGGTTCAAGTGATTCTCCTGCCTCAGCCTCCCGAGTAGCTGGGATTACAGGCGTGCACCACCATGCGCAGCTAATTTTTTGTATTTTCAGTAAAGATGGGGTTTCACCGTGTTGGCCAGGCTGGTCTCGAACTCCTGACCTCGTGATCCCCCCGCCTCGGCCTCCCAAAGTGCTGGGATTACAGATGTGAGCCACCACGCCCGGCCAACAACTTGGCTTTCTTGTCAAGATGGAAAATGCATGCATGTGCAGTGCAAACCACCATTCTCTTCACCTCTAGACAAAACGGGTGCTGCAAACACCCTGGGGCCCACTGAGGGGGAATGGGCACAGTTAGCCTGCTGTCCTATACACACCATTGAACAGAGCGCAACTCTTCCAGGAATGTCATCAAAACGGTTTTATCTGTCACAGCAACCAGTCACTTGGGAATGAACCTCACACAATAACTGTGTTACTATAAAGACAAGTAAAATGAATTTGTGTAAATTGAATCCTGTTTTTCCATTGATATATCATAATTCAGAGATTCTTTTTCCCAACCCTGTAATAGTTCTTGGCATGTGGTAGCCACTCAAATATTTATTGAAAGTATGACAACTAAGTGTCTTTAAAAGGCACGTAGTCTCTTTCTTTGTTTTCAGAACCCACCTTTACAAATCATCTACAAACACATGTATTATGGGACTCTTCCTGGAAAAGCACAGTGATTAAGGACTAGGGGAGTTCTGACTGATCAGAAGATGGTTTAATCATCACCAGCCAGTCAGAAGGGATTTGCCTTGAACACGTTTCATCTGCACGAGGCAAAATCACGAGAACAGGACAGAGTGGATGCAGGGACGTGTGATTTTGGGTCAAACTGGGAGATTGGGAGGCAAGCAGAGCACGAGGAGATGGCACAGGCAGCTTAGCATATCAGAAACCAGCAAAGTCAGGAATTATTTTAATTCCTTCTTAGAAATGTAGCTACATGTCCATTTTGGGTAGGTCACTTCCTTTTGCGGGGACAGTTTCATCATACGTAATGAACACGTGAATTAAGAATCTTTCTGCCTCATGTTTAGTGATTCACTATTATTTCTGGACTGGCCCCTTGTCTGTTGACTCCCTGAGTGTTTTGGGGGTGAAATGGGAAGGGAGCATGGGAGAAGAGGGGCAGATGGGGCAACCATGTTGTCCCAGGCATCTGGGAAATGTAGTGTCTCCTTTCGGTCAGGATACCTGCCTCTTTCCCCATCTTTGTCCCCCGTACCCTAGGGAAAGGCACAAGCAAAACTTGTTTCCAGCCCCTTCTGCCTGTCTGGAGTCCAGTCTACTTTTAAGTCCCCGTTAGACACCTCTCCTCAAGTCTGCTCCACTCTCTGGAGGTCAGTCTTCATAACCTCCTTCCATGCTGGAGCTGCCTCCCGGCCCTTCCCGCAGGAACCCGCTTGCTGAGATCATAACCATAAAGCCCACAGCGATGGAAAGAGTGGGCATGGCCAATCACCTTTTCCCTGGACACGGAGTCTCATTCACTCTGGCCCACTCTGAGGATATTCACATAAACAGAAGAGCCCTCAGCACCCCAGATCAAGACAAGCAGATGCCCCAGCCCATCCTGGACTGGGCCTAGGCACTGCTGCAGGCCGCCCAAGAAGCCACCCTCTCCCTAGCCCTGGCAAAAGTGGAGAGAAGGACTCTCGATTTCTCCTCTGTGCCCCGGCCTCACATCTTCCCCACCTCCTCGTCACAGTCCTCGTGCGCCCCTTTCTTTCTCTTCCTCTTCTTGTCTGTCTCCTTTTTTTCCTTCTCTGGGAGGATGTTGTCAATCCAGGCCAGGTCGTGCTGGGAAAAGATGAAATCCAGAAGCCTTCGAACGATGATGAGGCCCAGGATCTGTGGTGGGAAATGGGAGAGAGACTAAAGTTTTGTGAGTTTAGAGAAAACTGTGGTCTTAATGCCCAAACTCAAGCATAGATTTTTTCCTCCCTCAGTCTGCTGAGTTCAGGGACTTTTTGTGGTGTCTTTGGAGCCATCTTGAAGCTCCCATAAGCCATTATTCACCTTCCCTCCACCGTGGTTCCTCTCGTCTGGCCCCTCAAGTGAGTGACCATTCCTACCAGTGACCAAGAGGGACAGCCTGTGACAGCTGAAGTGGGGAGCCTCAGAAAGGCCATGGGCTGGAGAACTACAGTTATTCTTTAAATTAGTGGTTCTCAGCCAGGCATGGTGGCTCACGCCTGTAATCCCAGCACTTTGGGAGGCCGAGGTGGGTGGATCACCTGAGGTCAGGAGTTTCAGACCAGCCTGGCCAACATGGTGAAACCCTGTCCCTACTAAAAATACAAAAATTAGCCGGGCATGTTGGTGAGCGCCTGTAGTCCCAGCTACTCAGGAGACTGAGGCAGAAGAATCGCTAGAATCCGGGAGGCGGAGGTTGCAATGAGCCAAGATTGTGCCACTGCATTCCAGCCTGGGCGACAGAGCAAGACTCCATCTCAAACAAATAAAATAAATACATAAATTAGTGGTTCTCAAACTTCAGCATGCACCAGGACCTGGAGCACTTGTTAATACACAAATCACTGGATTCCCCCAGTTTCTGATTTAGCAGGTCAGGTAAGGCCCAAGAATTTATGTCTGTCTCTACTCTGTACATTTGCCAAAACTCATAGACCCACCCATTGAATTTTACTGTATGCAAATTAAACAAAAAAAAATCAATAGGTGGAGGGTGTGGGTCTTGCCTTGCCCTGCCCTGTCTAGCTGTGTGCCCAGGGTCACTCTGCTCATGCTCTCTGAGCCTCATGTTCTCATCTGTAAAGCTGGGTTACTAGTGCTTCAGGGGCTGGTGTGGACTCAGTGGAACAGCACTCAGTAAATGCTAATCATGACTACTACTGCCTTTCTCTTCAACAGCTCTGAGGCCCCTGAGGGCACTTGGGGTGAGGATCTATCTCCCTTTCCCTAAAGTGGGGGTTCTCAACCCTGGCTGCACGTCTATGCTCATCCGTGGACCTCATAAAAATACCAAAGTCTGGGTTTCCCCAGAGATTCTGATTTGATTGATCTGGGTTGATTGTCATGGGCAGCCAGGGTCAAGAACCATGGACTAGACCCCTCCCAGGAGTGTGCACTTAAAGTTCTCCTCAGTGTCCTTACTTTGGCCCCTATCCCGGAACCCTCAGGCTTTCACCAGGCATTTGCTGACACACTCCAGGCTCCTGGCAAGGGGGGCCTGGGTCACTGCCCTCAGTGAGTTACCAGAGGCAATATGTTGTTGGCTTTGCATTCTTTTCGCTTCTTATTTTGGAGTAATTTCAAACTTATATAATATTTGCAAGAATAGTGAAAGAACTGTAACCTTTCCCTTGCTCAAGCTTTATATATACTGTCACTGGGTTTTGTTGTTCTTGATCTCCGACCCTCGTTCTTCCCCCGCCCCACTACTTCACTATTTAGCTTTTCCAATTTAGCTATCTTGAAGGGTGGAAAGATCTATATTTAGTACTCATCGACTTCTGAGACTGGTTGGAATTTTGGCAGTGGGAACTTGGTCTCCAGGTTGAACTGATTTGCTTTCTCCATCCCTCCCCAGAGCTGGGTGGCTCCTGCATTCTCGCTGAGCTGCTCTGACATTCCTTTTTCCGCCTCCTCTCTGCCCCACCCCACACCATCTGGCCTGGATGGCCACAACTCGAATCAGGTCATTCTGTGCCAGCCTCTGCGACCCGAGGGAGCCAGGTCACAGCTGATGGGATGGTAGAAGGTGGTGGGAGGGGAGGTTGCGCTGCACCTCTGGGTTGCCCAGGCCAACCTGCCCGGCAGGAGGGGGAAGCCCGCGCCCACTTTACCATGACTGGGAAGATGATGGCAGCCACCGTGGATTTGAGGATCCAGAGCACCGCCAGGCAGAGGATCTGCACCAGGGTGAAGAGGTGGATCCGGCGCAGCGGCACGTGCCTCAGGAAGGCGTGGTCCGGCTGGTGCTTGGCTGGCATCAGGAAGAGCTTGCAGCGTTCCCAGAACTAGGGTGACAGCGTGGGCTCAGTCAGGCAGCCGGGCCCCAAGGGCCTGCTGGGCCCTGGGACTAGCGGAAGGGGTACCTGGGTGGGGTCTCAGAGAGGGGAAGCCCCCTGCTCAGGCCTTAAGGGTACATGGGACGGGGCCTGGAGGTGTCTAGGCGGATGCATAATGGGGTCTTAGAGAAGGGGTCCTGAGCCCCGGTTGAGGGGAACAGCCCTGGAGCTGGCCACAAAATAGACATTGTCCATATTCAAGGAAAGTGCAAGTTAATTGTAACACAAACTTTTTAAGAATTCTAGGATTTCACAGTAAATACAGAACAAAACAAAAATGTTTTCTTCTGCGTAGTTGCCTTAGGGAAGAGAAGGAAGTATAGTGAAATGCTCACTGGAGTCAGTTCTTTCTGGATTTTGAATTCTGACCCTCCAGTCCCCATCTGTAAAATGGGGATCAGAGGACTTAATTACATAGATTCAATTATGTGAGGCCTATGAAGTGCCTAGCATATTTATTTTGCCTGGTAGTATCAGTCAGTGGTAGTACCATTATTACTATTGTTCTTTCATTGAATTAGGACAATTGGGAACAATTGGGACAACTGAATTGGGGGTCTTGGTGACATGGAACCAGACATGGAATGTTGACTCCAGATCATGCAGCCTGGGGAGTGAAAGCCTTACCTGGATGCCATTCAGGGAGGCCACGCCCATGTAGAGGAAGACTCCATACAGCACTGGCAGGGGGATGCACTAAAATGAGAGCAGAGCTTTGGATCGGCCTCTGCCTGGGTCGGGCCCTTGGCCACCCTGTTCTGGATGACAGTGTCTCCTGACCACAGAGGCAGCTGGGGAGCTGGATGTTTGGGGGAACCGAGAGTTAGCAGAACTGGGGTGTGGGTGGGGGTGGAGATGAGGGTCACTGGGGCTGTACTGCCCCTTCTCAGGCTGGCCCAGCATGCTCTCCTGGCCGGGTCCCTCACTGCACTGTGCGGAAGCCATGTGGTCTGGCTGAAGAAATACCTTCTGGAAAGTGAGAAGACTCCACAGACTGCCCCCTCCTCATTCCTGCCAGCTCCTTCCTACCTCCAGCCTCAGGTGAGGGCCCCTAAAACTGCTCAGCCTGCAGGGGCATGGGGAACTTCAATGAGCTGACCTACATTGGCAGGGAGTACCCGGGACACTTAACAGAAATCACATGTCAGGCCGGGCATGGTGGCTCACGCCTGTAGTCCTAGCACCTCGAACACCTGAGGGTCAGGAGTTCGAGACCAGCCTGGCCAACACAGTGAAACCTCGTCTCTACTAAAAATACAAAAAAATTAGCCAGGCATGGTGGTGCATGCCTGTAATCCCAGCAACTTAGGAGGCTGAGGCAGAAGAATCGCTTAAACCTGGGAGACGGAGGTTTCAGTGAGCTGAGATCGTGCCAATGCACTCCAGCCTGGGCGACAGAGACTCCGTCTCAAACAAAAAACAAAAAACACAGAAATCATGCCTCATACACAATCACATAAAACAGAAGCAGAACAAAAGTGTGTAAACTAATCAGCACTCATCACCAACTAACCACGAACAGTTTGGTGGGTACCCATCCTTCCAAACTTGCACACAGGCATTTTGTTTGCGTTTTCAAAAATGGGATCATAGAATTCATCCCACTCTACAAGAATGATTCCAAATCTTTCACAGCCTTTCAAAGCATTTTTCTGCTGTCTATCTCAGCTGTTTCTGCCCCTTGCCTTCTCTCCACCTGCAGCTGTGGCTCCCCATGGTGAGCGGAGGCTGCTCCTCCTTGTGGTCATATTACAGCACTCTGGAGAGCACAGAGCACTATGCCAACACTAGAAGGGCTTTAGAGGAATTTTTGGCCCCTAAAGAAGGCTGTTCTTGGATTTGAGGGTTTTTTTTGTTTTTTTTGTTTGTTTGTTTGTTTTTGTTTTTATTTTTTTTGAGACAGAGTTGATATGTTAGTCATTCTGGTCTCAAACTATTGTCCTCAAGCGATCCTCCCGCCTCGGCCTCCCAAAGTGTTAGGATTACAGACATGAGCCATCATGCCTGGCTGATTCGAAGGTTTTTTTTTTTTTTTTTTTTTTTGAGACGGAGTCTCGCTCTGTCTTGCCCAGGCTGGAGTGCAGTGGTGCAATCTCGGCTCACTGCAGCCTCCACCTCCTGAGCTCAACCAATTCTCCCGTCTCAGCCTCCTGAGTAGCTGGGACTATAGGCGTGAGCCACCACACCCGGCTATTTTTGTATTTTTAGTAGACACGGGGTTTCACCATGTTGGCCAGGCTGGTCTTGAACTCCTGACCTTAGGTGATCCAACTGCCTCGGCCTCCCAAAGTGTTGGGATTACAGGCTTGAGTCATCACACCCAGCCTGATTCAAGCTTTTTAATGCGAATACTTGTATGTTAAACAGTGTCAAAATTGACATACACAACGGCACCTTGGAACCCTCTCTACAAAAGCAAATAGTCCCTGGCCATTTAAAATATATTTTTAAATAAACAAAATCTTTGCCCTCCTGTGTGCAATTTGTTTCCCCGACGAGGGAAATATCCCTTTAAAAATGCTAGCCTCCTACCTACTGCTCAGGTATGCCCAGTACCAATTCTCAAGCCAGAAATATTTTCCATTGTAAATACATCAGCCAGAATCATGATTCTTTAGCCTTTGTTTCTTACAAGGTCACCTCTGAATAAGGTTTTTTTTTTTTTTTTTTTTTTTTGAGAAGAGGTCTCACTCTGTCGCCCAGACTGGAGTGCAGCAGCGTGATCACGGCTCACTGCAGCCTCGACCTCCTGGGCTCAAGTGATCATGCCTCACACGTACCATCATGCCTGGCTAACTTTTGTATTTTTTGTAGAGATGGGGGTCTCGCTATGTTGCCCAAGCTGGTCTTGAACTCCTGGTCTCAAGTGATCCTCCCACCTTGGCCTCCCAGAGTCCTGGGATTACAGGCATGAGCCACCATGCCTGGTCATGAGCTGTTTTGAGATAGTCAAAGAGGAAAAATAATATCGGCAAAAGGTTGAGGCAATTACAGTTAAACTTAATTCAAGAAAAGAAAGTTTTACGTGAGCACTGATCAAGGGAAAGGGAGATTGATGGGCAATTGGCTGGAGTGGAGAGCAGGGAAGCCTGGTGGGAACACCTTGCTTTCTGGAGTCTCTCCAGCAAGAGACCCTTGTGGGGGACACCTGCCTCCATTGTACCCCTACTTGACTTAATCTCTTAGCTGTTGTGGTGGGACATGAGCAAGAGGAACTTCAAGCTGTGTGGGAAAAAGTCACCCAAGTCCCAAGACTTCCTGAGTTCAGGTGATCCTCCCGCCTCAGCCTCCTGAGTGGCTAGACTACAGGGATGTACCACCATGTTTGACCTCGTGCTGCAAATTTTAAACTTCATGAGCCCCACACTCCAGCAATGTGGACACACACCCCATTTAGGAAGTTCTTGATCTAAGCAGGGCTAGAACTTGGCAGAACTTTCAGAGGGAAGAGTATCCTCCAGAAGGTGAGAGTGGCCCTGGGAGGGGTGGGAGAGAGGATTGGTGATGATAAAAACTACAGTATCACAGAAAATGATGGTGACAGTGTGGAAACATTGCTTTGGCCTAGTAAGAATGTGCCTTTCTTTCTTTTTCTTTTCTTTCTTTTCTTTCCTTTCTTTCCTTTCTTTCTTTCTTTTCTTTCTTTTGTGAGACAGAGTTTCGCTCTTGTTGCCCAGGCTGGAGTGCAGTGGTACCATCTTGGCTCACTGCAACCTCCACCTCCCAGGTTCATGTGATTCTCCTGTTTCAGCCTCCTGAGTAGCTGTGATTACAGGCCTTAGCCACCATGCCTGACTAATTTTTGTATTTTTAGTAGAGACAGGGTTTCACCATGTTGGTCAGGCTGGTCTTGAACTCCTGCCCTCAGGTGATCCTCCTGCCTCGGCCTCCCAAAGTGCTGGGATTACAGGCGTGAGTCACCATACCTGGCCAAGACTGTGCCTTTTTTAGGGGGCTGATACGCCCGTGATCCCTAGCCATGTGGGGACCCCCTCCCTCCCTGAGGCATCCACTCTGCTTTCTCAGGCAACAAGGCCCTAGGTGAGAGTGCAGGACCTCACCTTTAGGATGGGAGCCAGGAAGACAGAGATTCCCGTCAGGATGAAGACGATGATGCCGGTCACTCTCTGTTCCCTGGCAGAGAAGAACACATTGTCAGGGTGTACCAGGAAATGCCTGGTGACCACTCTGGCCCTCCTGCTCACTGTGGGCACCTGAAGTTTGTGTCCAAGGCCATGGCCTCGAGGGCTTCTGTGTGGAGCTCTGCCTGGTTGCCTGAGGCCCAGCTGAACCATATGTGGGAAGACAGGCAGCCCCCAAGGGATCTTGCAGGGGCATTGAGGGAGGCTGCTTAGTGTAGTGGCTCGTAGCTGGGGTGCTTGAGCAGAACTGATGTGGGCTGGATCCTGGCTCTGCCACTTGCTAGTTATGCAGCATTGGGCAGGAGCCTGCCCATCTTCAGCCTCAGTGTATGCAGATAATAATGGCACCTATTGTTGCGAGGATACATGCAAGATAAAATGCTATTACTCTGCTCTTTGATTTTAAGATTTCACTTTTGTGGGGCACAATGAATGAGGATCTGGAGAAGGGGACACCAGCAGAGCAGGTGTCAGGGGTGGGAGGCAGGTGAGCCCTGCAGTTGGGCAGAAAAGCGTCATTCGGGCAGGCTGGGTGGCCCAAGTATCCCAAGATAGTGGGAGAAGTTCTTAGGGCAGCCACGTAGGTGAATGCCAGGGTTTGGTGTGGTCTCACCCTGGAGGCCCTAAGGGGCTGAAGATGCACTTCTCTGCCTACCATGGGGTGTAAGAGAAGAGGCAAGTGAAGGAACAGGAGTGACAGGCAGGGCCATAGACGGGGGAGTGGGGGTGATCCTGGGATAGCCTTCTGGAGGAATGGAGACTGAGCAGGACCTGAACCCACAAGAGGGCCATCAGGGCAGTAGGGGCCTGGAGGGTCTTGAGGAAGAGAAAAAGAGCAGGACAGCATGAGGCCTTGTGGGGACCTTGGGTGGCCGATGCAGATGAGTGGCACGTGTGCATGTTTATGGATGGGATATACATACTGCTTGGAGTCCAGTAGGTAAAAAGCCCCACTTAGAGTTGGACTTCTGTCTCTCTCCTTCTCTGCCTCCAGGGATAGCACTCATGTCCCTGTGGTTCTTGGGCCATCAGAGCCCAAATTCTTTTGTGGCAGGCAAAGCCAGCTTCCCCTCCCCGAGTGGGCCCCTCCCCATTGGGTGATTCCTAGGCCCTGACCCTCCTACCTGACTCCTAGGAACTGGGGCTGCTCCCCAGGGGCGCTGGTCTCTGTCTCCATCTTGAGGCTGTCGATGTGGGCGATGGAGATGACCGTGGCAGCCACGTACCAGGGAAGCCCCATAAAGGAGCACAAGGCCATGAGGATGCCCACCCAGAACAGGTCCAGATGATAGCCAGCAGCCTTCTGCAGGAGTGGGGTGGGGGTGGGGGAGGGAGAAGTTTCTGGGAAGCCAGTTCCTCCTGGAAGCAGCCACTCTGTGGAACATGGTTCAAGGCCCCCCTGCCTTCCAGAAGATACTGAAGGGGCCTGAGGTGCTCCTTGCAAGGATTGCGGAGGTGGGCAGGTCCTACCACCCCATCTGAAAGGGTGAACTGCCTAAGGCACATGGGTCGTAGAAGAGAGGGATGTTCAAGCTTGGAGAGGCCCTGGGTTTGGGTCTCTGGGGAGAAGGGCCCAGAAGGTGGCCACAGGGTCTCTACAGTTCCTGAGGGGCCCCAGCTGGGACAGGCCACACCTAGAGTGGTCTAGACTGGGATGGGGGAGGGGGTGACCCGAGTCTTCTCAGGCTCACAGGCTGGATGGGGAGTTGCAGAGACCAGCAAGGCTAAGGAAGTTCCTCTGCCTCAGTGTTCTAGGCTGAGCCCCCATCAGGATCTGCTGATTCTCATAAGAACTCGATGCCACTTTGGGAGAGACAGAGAGTCTGTGCCCAGTGGCCCAACCTAGTTTGGTCCTGGTCCTCAGAAAGTCACTGTAGCCCTGGTGGCCTTACCCACACCTGGAGGTCACTTTTCCCCCTCAACACACCAAGTGGGAACTCGTCTTCTGTCCTCATATTTTCCTGGCCCAAAGTACTGAAAGAAGCATCATGTCCTTCCTTCGCTCCTTCTGACTTTGTGGGAAGAAAGAGGTTATGCCTCTGCTCCTAGTACGGGCCTTACCTTCAGTTTGTTCTCCTTCCGGTTGACAATGACGGCAGTGATCTGTTGGTCCATGAAGATCAGGATGGTCACCAGCAGGGCGGGCAGGATGCTTGCTGGGTACACCCACCACGGGTTCTTCCCAAAGGGGGCCACGAACCAGCCTCGGTCAGGCCGTGTGGGCTGAATGGGAGCAAACAGAGAGGGGCCCTTTCCTCTCTCTCTTGTCCCAGGGCACTTGCTGCCTGGCCTGCTGTCCCACCTCCTCAACTTTCCCTGACTTTGGGTACTTTTCAAGTGCAATCTTTTCCCTTAAACACCTTAGGTACCTGCAACTTTAGACTAAATTCAGACATGGGAAGGAGCATGCACTCAGACAGTGTCTGTAAAACTAAGGAGGTAATTTGCTACAACAGCCCTGGGGTTGGTCAGAAAACATGGAGGTGAAGGTCAAAGGGCAGCCAGGAGAGAGAGCACAGTCACCCACTGCAAATAACAAACAGCAGGAATGAGGCCCAACAGAAAAGAATAAAGAAATGGGTGGGCCCAGGGCCAGCTGCTTCTGCCTCTCTTGAGTCACCTGTCTGGGAGCATTAAAGAATTGTCTGTAAAACGCTAAACATCAGTTCAGTCCTGCATGTTAAGAATGAGGAGAATATATAAAAAGACTTTGTCTCAAAAAACAAACAAACAACAACAACAAAAAACCTTAAAGACAGGGAGGGTAAGTTCTAGAATCTGGACTCCCTACTCTGGTGAGATGGTTGGTGCTCTTTTTTTTTCTTTCTTTCTTCTTTTCATTTTTGAGATGGAGTCTTGCTCTGTCACCCAGGCTGCAGTGCAGTGGTGCAATCTTGGCTCACTGCAAGCTCCACCTCCCAGATTCACGCCATTCTCCTGCCTCAGCCTCCCCAGTAGCTGGGACTACAGGCGCCCGCCACCACGCCTGGCTAATTTTTTTGTATCTTTAATAGAGATGGGGTTTCACTGTGTTGGCCAGGATGGTCTTGATCTCCTGACCTCGTGATCTGCCCGCCTCAGCCTCCCAAAGTGCTGGGATTACAGGCATGAGCCACTGCACCTGGCCGGTTGGTGCTCTTATGAGGGAGTAGGGCTGAGTTTAGCTACAAGCATATGTCACCAATTCTAGACTAGTGGGTAATTTCTAAGCAGTGGTTCTCAAACTTGAGCATACTCCAAGTCACCTGAAGGGCTTGTTAAAATGCAGATTGCTGGTCCCACCCCCCGAGCTTTTCTGATTCCACAGGTGGGGCTGAGAAATTGCATTTCTAACGAGTTCCCCATGACTGTGATGCTGTGATATTGGTCTGAGGACCACACTTTGAGAATCACTGTTCTAAGGGACCAGTTTCAATAGATCCTATTTGGCCCAGCTTATAGATTGCCAGAGGTTAGGGAACTGGAGACCCTCAAACAGGAATCAAGAGGCTTCTGCTGGGTTGAAGGGTGAATTTCAGTGCCTTCCTCACCTCAAGACTACAGATCAGGATTTCCTGGTGAATATGTTACCCCTCCCTGCCCTACCCCAAAGGACCAGCTCCTGGGAGCCAGTGTTCAGGAAAGGTGGCACACAGAGAACTCAAATGGTCTCTTGACTGAGAGGAGAAGAGTTTGATCAGCACAGAGGGGAAAGAATCTACAGCTGGTAGGCAGGCCGACTGGATGCCCAGAGTGGGGGCAAGGGGCAAACCTTGATGACACTGGGCACATGCAGCTTGGGGGTTTCCAGGCCAAAACAGGCATCGATTCCACAGAACATCAGGATGGAGAAAACAATGGAAAAGTCAGCCACCAGGGCCCGGACCTGCAGACAGGAGATGAGCAAGTGAAAGAAGTGAGTAAAGCACCCACCCAGCTCCAGGCAGCCCCAGTCCCCAAGCAGCAACGAGGTGAACTGTTACAGTCTGGGCTCTGAAGGCACCAGAACTAGGCTCAAATCCGGGCTCTGCTCCTCGCTAACTGTGTGAGCTTGGGGAAACGTGTCATCTCTCCAAGCCTCAATTTCCTTCTCTGTAAGATGGAGATGATGGTAGGATCTCCCTCAAAGGTGTAACTGAACTGTGACACATTTCGAGTGCTTGGCATATAGTGATCAATGTGGGAGCTGTTATGATCCATGTGGCCATGGCAGCCACTGCTGAAGATGTGTTCTGGTATGACAGTCTGAATTGGGGCACCCAGCAGGTATGATGAGGGCAAGGGCTGAACTCTGAAGCAAACCTTAGTTCCTACAAATCTGTGACAGGTTGTTGTACCCCACCTGGGCTGGGAGGGAGGCTCCTCAATTCCACTGGGGACCATTGACTACTCTCAGACCTTTTGTCCACCAAGAGCCTCTTGTTCCTCTGTTTCTCAGGAGGCCCTTCCTAGGCCAGGTTCTTAACTTGGAGGCCCTTCCTAGACCAAGTCCTGAACCTGACCTTCCTGCCCATTCTGAATCAATGTCCTCTGACCTCCCCTCCAAACCAACTTTATGTCCAGAAGTCTCAGGACAGAAGGTTCCCCAACGTCTACCCTGTGGCCTTTTTTATATCTTTTCAGAGAAGGCAATTTGAAGGGCAGGGGCAGGTGACAGTACATTGACTTCATTCCCTGCATCCCCCTTTTCTCTTTAAATTTGTTATTAACATAATATATATAATTGGTTAAAAACTCACATAGTGGAGAAGACTTATAGGGAAAATCAGTCTCCCACCTCCCCTTTTCTCAATCCAGCCCCACCTTCTAGATCCATCTACTATGTCTGCTTGATTTTACTTGTTCTGGAGGTTCCCTCCATGTCATTAACTAATATGCATATACTTTAATATTTTCATTTACTAACTTAAGGGATTATCTATTGATAAGAATTTTCCTTTACTTACACTATGCCTCCTGTCCTTTCCTTATTCCTAATCTTTGATAATTTTAAGCTCCTATGGGTTTCCTTTATACTTTCAAGTTACATAATCAAACCTCTCTTTACATTAGCTTTGGCTAATATCTCTCATTCTCCATCTTGCAAGGTGAGGACCACTGCCTCTGTCCTCCTACCACCTCTCTCCTCCTCCTCCCCTTCCTTCCTGTGACAACTCCGCTTTGATCTTTCCATTGTCGAAGCTGAGAACACTCATGTTTTGTTCTGTAAACACATGGTTTGTGTGTTTTATCTGTAAGTCAATTCCAAAAGTTGAAAATTAGTAACAGCTTTATATTATCATGATCATATAAATATTAGTCACAGTAGAACCAAGTAGTGTGCTAGGTTTATACTTCCTTTTCTATAATATTCCTAGCATAGACGTCAAAACCATATGAATGGTTATTAAGTTAAACCACATGAATTTGCCTTTTTTTGTAGGTCGAAACAGTCAAATATGGGCAACTTCACATGGTCCAACCTAATCAGAGAGTGTCAGTTGCTCTCCAAATTGGATGTATCTGTTTACACTCCCACCTACTGCTTTCCATCTCCAACATCTGGTGTCCCAACACCTTCATCTGTCTACCAATCTGATGAGTATGAAATGGTGTGGCCTCATTCCTCCCTGCAACCCAAAATTCCAGGAGGCAATTGAGCAATTTTTAAGTAATGTGAGGGAAAAAATGTTGTTGGTGGCGCAAGAACTCCATGCCACATGAATTACTTTTCATCCTACAGGCAACAGATAGATATTCTCAGATACAGTGACTGCTTGAGAATTTTTACATAAAAGGAGATAGGGATATGCTCTGGGCTGGAAGTGGGCAGGAAGGAAGAGAACTCGTCTTAAGGATGCACTCGTGTTGTAAGCAAACTATTTTTTACTCAGTTTACATACTGCAAAGCTTCCTAAAGCACCTTTTATTCAGTCTTTGGAAAATTCGGGAAAAATTCAACTATTTATATCAAAGATTTTATCATTATGATTAGTAGCAGTAGCAATAGCAGCTGTAATACTTAGTTAAGATGGCTTTAGGAGAGTGCTAATGGAGTTTATGGTGGGAAAGAGTTGCTAAAATTCTTCTGAGTACCCCTCACCCCACGGCACAGCCACTGTTTACATATTCAAGCGCTGTTTTAATAAATGTTTTATTCCAGCCACAAACTGGTAGAAAATAAAATGTAAAACAGCAGTTTGGGCCAGGCGCAGTGGCTCACACCTGTAATCCCAGCATCTGGGGAGGCTGAGGTTGGGGGATCACCTGAGGTAAGGAGTTCAAGACCAGCCTGGCCAATATGGTGAAACCCCATCTCAACTAAAATTACAAAAATTAGCCGGGCGTGATGGCAGGCGCCTATAGTCCCAGCTATTTGGGAGCCTGAGGCAGGAAAATCACTTGGACCTGGGAGGTGAAGGTTGCAGTGAGCCAAGATCATGCCACTTCACTCCAGCCTGGGTGACAGAGTGAGATTGTGTCTCAAAATAATAATAATTATGATTATATGATTATAATTATTATTTTTATAATAAAATAAAAAATAAAATAGCAGTTAGCATTTACGACAGTATAAAAAAAATCAAGTATCTAGAAATAAATCTAACAAAAAATGTCCAAGACTTCAAGATCAAAATGTATAAAACATTATGGAGAGAAAGAAGACCAAAATAAATGAAGTATACCGTATTCATAAATCAGAAAACTCAAAGTTTGAAAGACATCAATTCTTCCCAAACAGAGTCAAAGATAATCCTATCAAATTCGAACAAGTTTTCATTTTGGTGAAATTTAAGATGATTCTAAAATTCATGTGGAAATGCAAAGGGCCAAGAAAATATTATATAAAAAGGACAAAGAGAGAGAGAGTTTGGGAGACAAAGATATAAAGACTTATAAGCTACAGAAATTAAGACTGTCATACTGATACATAAATAAACTAATGAAACAAAATAAGGAACCCAGAAACAGACCCTGTCATATAGGAACATTTGATATATGGCAAAGGAAGTATTGCAAAGCAATGGAGAAGGAATAGTCTTTAAAAAATACTGGAACAGGCCGGGCGCGGTGGCTCAAGCCTGTAATCCCAGCACTTTGGGAGGCCGAGACGGGTGGATCACGAGGTCAGGAGATCGAGACCATCCTGGCTAACACGGTGAAACCCCGTCTCTACTAAAAAATACAAAAAACTAGCCGGGTGTGGTGGCGGTGCCTGTAGTCCCAGCTACTCGGGAGGCTGAGGCAGGAGAATGGCGTAAACCCGGGAGGCGGAGCTTGCAGTGAGCTGAGATCCGGCCACTGCACTCCAGCCTGGGCGACAGAGCCAGACTCCGTCTCAAAAAAAAAAATAAAAAATACTGGAACAATTGACTGTATAAAATCACAAAGAAACACTATCTCACAGTACACATCAAAATCAATTCTGATGGACTGTAGATCTAACATGAAAGGAAAAACAATAAAGCTTTTAGAAGGTAACATACAAGAATATCTGCTGTCCATATTTGCCTTGAGGAAAGTTTGAATATTCAATTACAATAAAACTAATAATTTCTGTTAATCAAAAGATACCATTAAGGATGTAAAAAGAAAAAAACGGTCACAGAGTGGGAGATTTCGCAACACATATAATCACAAAAACGTTTCTACCCAGAATATATAAAAAACTCTTGCAAATCAGAAAGGCAGACAACCCAAAATGTGCAAGAGATTTCAACAGACACTTCCAAACAGAAAGTCAACTGGCCACATGGCCAATAAACACAGGAATAGCTGTGCTTTCAACTTCATTAGTCATCAGGGAAACGAAACATTTTAAAAACACAATGAGATAATACTATAGACAAAGACTAAAGATAAAAACTTGACGATACCAAGTGTTGTCAAGGGGACCGGCCAACAAGGGAACACAGTTCTCTCTGACTTAACTTGAAAAACCCCAGTGGTCCAGTGCTCATGTGGAGTCCATCCATGGGTGGACCAGAACCCTCTCTTGGGGACTCAGCAGCAGTCTGACTGCAGGTCCCCTCCTAACTGCAGGGTGAGCTTACCTTGGTAGGAAAATAGCGGCTGAATTTGAACTTCTTCAGGGTCAGGGTCATGGAATATGTCCCAAAGAAAAGGATGAAGGACATGAGCGCCAGGTCTGGGATAAACTTGCAGGAATTCCCAAGCAGGCGCCCGCCATAGCTCAGACACTCCTTCTTGCTCAGCAGGGACCAGTCCAACGCTGTGAGGTTAAGGGGGTTGTACTTGGAGACCAAGCACAGGAGACAATGGGTCAGCATCTTCCTGATGAGTCAGCTGTGTCCTTCCCACTGCCGTCCCCAGGCAGCCAGCATACCTTCCCACACCCTCTGAGGGATCCCAGCCCTCCTGGCCATGATGGTGTCCTCAGCAACACAGTGATGTTCCTGGGGACAGGCTGGTTCATGGAATGACAACCTCCCTGGGAAGATGAGGAGCTCACATGTGTTTCTTCCCTGTGTTCTAGGATGCACTGCTGTGCTAGTAAGGAGGAAAAGTGCAGAGAGAAGATGCCTTCTCCCTCAGCAGGCCTGGCTCCCATCAACCAACCACAGGTCCTGTGGACACCTCCTTCCTGGAGTGTCTCATCTTTATTCTCTCCCCTCCATCCCCTCTGTCACATCCTTTCACATAGGGGGGATCACATCCCTTGTCAGTCCCCTCTTGGGTCATTTCAGCCATTCCCCACCTTGGTGTCTCAGATGCCTAAAATCCAGGCCGTACACAACAGTGAATTTTTATATATAAATTATTTATATATATAAATTATATAATATATAATTATATATATTACATATTATAATATATAATATATAATTTTTATATAAATTATATATGTTATATATAATATAAATTATATTATATATATAAAAGTAAATCACCAAAGCAACTTAAAATGTCCCCTCCAGGGTGGCATTCCTCTGCTGCCCTCACTGGTCTGGCCCCACATCTCTTTCCCAGCTTGTCTCTTGTGGTTGCCTGTCCGAGCCCCACCTTCACCCCGTCTTAGCTGGCCTAGCCTACCCACTAGCCTCTGCACGGGTTTTGTGCTTTTCCTCTCTTGCCCTTCTGTTTATGCTGTTCCTTCTGTCTGGAATGTGCTTTTCTCTGCTGAGTCAACTTTTTCCCAACCTTGAAGACCAGATCGCATTCTACTTCCTCTTTGAGGCTTTCCTTGGCCTCTCCAGCAGCCTCCTTTCCTGCCTTCAAGACTGAAGTACACATTTGGCCTATATTTAATGCATGGTGTATTCTGCTTATGCTGTCCCACAACTTTTCAAGTTCTTCTCCACAAATATATTAAAAACAAAATTGAGGACAGGGACCACGTTGGTTTCTCAGATGTCTTTCTTAGCCTTCAGTGTACATGGCCCCTTGCATTTAATAGGGACTCAGAAATAGGCACTGACTGATTCTGTTCTTTCTCTCTCAAAATTTGATAGTTAGCCAGCCTAGGCAACATAGTGAGACCCTGTCTCTACAAAAAAATTTAAAAATTAGCCAGGCACGGCGGCTGATGCCTGTAGTCCCAGCTACTCAGGAGGCTGAGGCAGGAAGATCACTTGAGCTCAGGAATTTGAAGCTGCAGTGATGATATGATCACACCACTACATTCCAGCCTGGGCAACAGAGCAAGACCCCATCTCAAAAAACAACAACAACAACAAAAAAAAACACAAAAAACAAAAAACAAAAAACCAAAAACAAAACCCTGATCTTTGAAAAATATTAAATTAAATTGCCAACTGGGATGTGCGTAGGCAGAGCAGTCAATTGCTTAGGCAGGAATAACTTAAGAAGCAACCTTGGAGACAGTAAAAGCTCACAAACGTCTCCCAAGTCCTACTAGGTGCTACATTCATCTGGAATTGAACTTCTATCATTAAGCCACTTAGGCTGGGATGCTGGTTCCTAAAGACCACCATCATTACTGGGAAAGGCAGACCATACCTTAGGCCCCAGAGACTAAGGTGTGCAAAGAACACGTTAGGTTCATTGAGGAAGAAACACTAATAAACTCTATGGGGCTGGAGAGTGGCACTGTTGGAAATTGGGGGTCCTAGGCAGAAAGAGAAGGAAGAAGGCAAAAAGATGAATGGGAGGCTTTGCTTACAGCTTTGTGCGGCCTTATTTACCATCCCTCACCTCTACCTCCCCCTCCTCTGTGTGCGTGTCATATTATTATTATTATTATTATTATTATTATTATTATTATTATTATTTTTGAGACAGGGTCTTGCTCTGTCACCCAGGCTGGAGTGTAGTGGTGTGATCTTGGCTCACCACACCTCTGCCTCCTGGGTTCAAACAATTCTTGTGCCTCAGCCTCTCGAGTAGCTGGGATTACAGGCGTGTACCACTACACCTGGCTTGTATCATATTATTAGTACACATGGGGCTGGGTGCGGTGGCTCACTTCTGTAATCCCAGCACTTTGGGAGGCCAAGGCAGGCAGATCAGTTGAGGTCAGGAGTTCGAAACCAGCCTGGCCAACATGGTGAAACCCCGTCTATACTAAAAATACAAAAAATTAGCTGGGTGTGGTGGTGCGTGCCTGTAATCCCAGCTACTCAGGAGGCTGTGGCAGGAGAATTACTTGAACCCAGGGAGGTGGAGGTTGCGGTGAGCCAAGATCGCACCACTGCACTCCAGCCTGGGCGACAGAGTAAGACCCTGTCTCAAAAAACAAAAAACAAAAACACACACAAAACATGGATTTAACAGAATGAGGCATGTTTTTAAGTGGGATGTTTACAGTATATACCTAAGAAAAAAGTTTGCATCTACAAAGCTCTGCAGGTGACCCTGACGTGAGGTTGGAGTTGACCTCTGCAAGTCTGGGTGGCTATAAGTTGATCTCATTTCCAAAATCTTTTCTCCCTCCTCCTACAAACAAAAGCACTCAAATGTCTGACATGAGAGGAAAGGACTTACCAGAGAAGTGTTGGTGTCTGGTGCCAGTGGGGCTGAAGCATTGAACATGGTTGTATTCACTGTGGATGAGCACATGACACGGGGCAGGGTCAGCAGCTGTGGGGCTGGGAGCTGCATTCCCAACCCCTTCACATCTCCTTCCAGTTCCTTAGAGCCAAGGCCTGGCTTCCACTGTGAGGGCAGCTCCCTCTCCACCTTCCTCACTTTGCCCCAGTTAGGGAAGGGCTGGTGGGACCAAGCCTGGGCCACAGCTCTGACAGACCAGCTGGGCCAGAAGAGCACCCGCCTGACGATGAACAGCTGGTTTTAAAAACTGAAATAAGGAATCTGGGACCAAGACAAAGTGCTAAGACAAACTGGAGGATAACGTGCCTTGTGAATCCCCACTGGCCACTGGGCTTTTAGACTTAAAAATGTTCAAAGAACTTACTCTATGCCATGCATTATGCCAAGCCTTTATATATATTCATTTGTTTAAATCCCAAATCTTCACCAAGTATGCCCACTTTACAGAGGAGGTAACTGAGGCCCAGAGAGGTTATATAATTCACCCAAGGTCACACAGTTCATACTTGGAGCCATGACCCCATCCCAGGAAGGCTGGCCCAGAGCCTATAAACTTCCCAGCTCTACACCGTGAACTTCCCTGCCCTGTTCACCTCCACAGATATGTTCCTTCCCTTCTAGCCCTCTTTTTTGCCCAGGCTGGAGTGTAGTGGCATGATATTAGCTCACTGCAACCTCCACCTCCCAGGTTCAAGCGATTCTTGTGCCTCAGCCTCCCAAATAGCTGGGACTACAGACACATGCCACCCTGCCTGGTTAATTTTTATATTTTTAGTAGAGATGGGGTTTCACCATGTTGGCCAGGCTGGTCTTGAACTCTTGACTTCAAGTGATCTGCCCATCTCAGCCTCCCAAAGTGCTGGGATTACAGGCATGAGTCATTGCACCCAGCCCATATGTGCTTTTTATTAAAGGTCAGCTAGGCCTGAAAGAACTTGTTGCTTTGATATTATCGTTTCTAATCTGCCAAGTGCAAGTTGAGAAAAGTTAAACCAAAGTCCAGGTTTTGAAGCAGAATCGGGAACCCAAAGGTGCTGCTCTCAGCGGCTCTCTTGATGGATACTTCCCTACCCTGGCTTCAGTGTCCCTAACCGTATGTGGATCACATGAAGGTCTACAGGGAGAGTTTCAAGGAACCACAGTCATCTGTCTCTCCTTTCCACGTGGACCCTTCTGTTCCCCTGTTCTGCAGTCTGTCCTGCTTCCTTTGCTCCTCATTCGCAGGGCCAGGCTCCCCCGGGATGTGGCCACCCATGGGAAGTCAGGCTTTGGAGGCCTGCTGCCTTCTCTCTTCTTCCTGAACTGCAAGGGTAAAGGCAAAGGCCAGGCCCGCCTCACCATCCTCCTCTAGTGAAGGCAGAGGCAAGCAGTCCCTCTGCAGCAGGTCTGCGGAGACAGGGAGCAGGCCTGCCAGCCAGCTTGCCAGCAATATGTCTGAAATGCAGTGTAAGCCCGATGTGGCTCCTGCTGGCTGACACAGGCAGTTAGAAACCCAGAAAGAAGAAGAGGTCTATCTTTGGGCTTCTCCCAATCTCCAACAAGCTGTCCATAGGGCTGATGTGACCACAGAGCCCTGCTATGTTGCTCACTCCCATGCCTGCTGGGGCGCTAAGGGATTTCATCTTGACCCAGGGCAGAATATTCCTAGAAGCTCTACAAACCCAGAGGTTTGTTTGGATTGTTCTGAGGAAGGCTTCATCTATTAGAAATTGGGGTTCTATTGCCTTTCCTCACATCAGTGACCAAAAGAACATGATGCGCAATTAATGATGGAGACAGAGAAGCCAGGCAGGAAGGCTGCCTCAGGGGTCCTCACTCAAATGCTAGAGAACTCCTGGCTGATGCTTGAGCCTGGGGAGTTCAGATGTCTTTTTCACTACCCAATGTCTTCAGACCACCTTTGATGTCTTCTGCTTATGTTTATCAATTCTTTTATATCAAGAACTCTGTAGGGTTTATCTGAAAGCCATTTGAGATGAAGATGAAAGAAATATAACCTGGAAAATTTCAGAAAGGGTCCAAGTATCAAACATTTTTAAATTCCAGTGTTTACAAAGTGGTACTCACTTGGGATTGAAAGCAGCCAAATCAGTGTGTGCAGCATTCATAAATAGAATACAAATCAGTTACAATGGAAGCAAAAGCAAATAGAAGGAGAGTGCCCCCAAACAAGCTTTTATGATGAAGAGTGACAAAGAGTGAGAGTATACTATATTAAGACTGGGCCTCGCAGTAAAACTAGGATTATGGGCCCATTACTGAGTAGGTGGCCCATGCACTGGGAAAGAAACCTTCCACAGTTCGTCCCCCTCATCCCCGTCTCCTAAATGTGTAGAATTTTCCTTTCCATGTTATCTTAATTAAAACTAACTTGTCCTAGTTCTAGTTCCTTTACTTTCTGTGAAGAAACTGAAAATTTAATCTTACTGGGGTTTAATGGTCAATAATGGCCCATTATTACTAATAGTTCAACAGAGCGATGGTTCTCAAACTTAAGAGTGCATCAGAATCAATTGGAAGACTTAATATACGTCAGGGTGGACCCTACTCCAGAGTTCCTTCCTTCCTTTCTTCCTTCCTTCCTTCCTTCCTTCCTTCCTTCCTTCCTTCCTTCCCTCCCTCCCTCCTTCCTTCCCTCCCTCTCTCCTTCCCTCCTTTCCTCCTTCCCTCCCTCCCTCCCTCCCTTCCTTCCTTTTTCTTTCTTTTCTCTTCTTTTCTTTTTCTCTTTCTTTCTCTCCTTCCTTCCTTCCCTTTCCTTTTTCTTTCTTTCCTCCTCTCCTCACCTCTTATCTTCTCTTTTCTTCCTCTTCTGCTTCTGCTGCTTCTCTTTCTCTGTCTGTCTCTCTCTCTCTCTTCTTTCTTTCTTAGAAAGAGGCAGGGTCTGGCTATGTTGTCCAGGCTGGTCCCAAACTCCTGGGCTCAAGTGATCCTCCTACCTCAACCTTCTGACTAGCTGGGACTACAGGTGTGCATTACTGTGCCCAGCCAGAGATTCTGATTCAGCAGGTCTGGGGTAGGAGGCTACGAATTTGTATTTCTAACAAGTTCCCTGATGCTGCTGGTCCAGGGACCACATTTTGAGAATCATGACAATAGCATGACCCCAAAGAATGAGGTGACATCAGGCACCTGGGCAAAGCAGAGGGGAAGCTATTTGGGAACAGGTGGCTTCATTATATCCCTCATAACGCACCTTATATGCTCCTACGGCCCTTGTTCCTAGAGCACCCCTGGGTTTGTTTTTTCCTGTGGATAGATGATTCTCAGAATGGCCAAAGCAGCCAGGTGTGGTGACTCACACCTGTAATCCCAGAAATTTGGGAGGCCGAGGCGGGCAGATCATGAGGTCAAGAGATTGAAGCCATCCTGGCCAAAATGGTGAAACCCTGCCTCGACTAAAAATACAAAAATTAGCTGGGTGTGGTGGCAAACACTTGTAGTCCCAGCTATTTGGGAGGCTGAGGCAGGAGAATCGCCTGAACCCAGGAGGCGGAGGTTGCAGTGAGCCGAGATCACACCACTGCACTCCAGCCTGGGCGACAGAGCCAGACTCTGTCTCAAAACAAAACAAAACAAAACACATAATTTGAATTTTTTTCTAAAAGAGATCAAGGATGTGTGCTTCTAGAAGCTATGTTTGTGTAAAATTTATGTCAATGCAACACTGAATCTACAGTCTAGAAGATACAAGCACGTAAGAGGGCCCTGATGGGGCTTCCCCAAGCAGGATTTGCTCCAGGGCAGAATGAAAAGGGCCTGCCTGCAGGTAGGATCCCCTCTGGGCAAGCAACATGCCTTGGCTCAGGACAAAGGGTAGCATCACCTGTCATTAGATTTTAGTGGAATAATTCAAAATTAATGGCAGAAAAAAAGAAAGAAAAAAATAAGTCTGGACTTCTTTTTTTTTTTTTTGAGACGGAGTCTTGCTCTGTCGCCCAGGCTGGAGTGCAGTGGCCAGATCTCGGCTCACTGCAAGCTCCGCCTCCCGGGTTCACGCCATTCTCCTGCCTCAGCCTCCCGAGTAGCTGGGACTACAGGCACCCGCCACCTCGCCCGGCTAGTTTTTTGTAATATTTAGTAGAGACGGGGTTTCACTGTGTTAGCCAGGATGGTCTCGATCTCCTGACCTCGTGATCCACCCGTCTCCGCCTCCCAAAGTGCTGGGATTACAGGCTTGAGCCACCGCGCCCGGCCAGTCTGGACTTCTTTACAAAATCAGTGCAGTCACAGAGGGAAGGGGTTATAATCAAAACTGAACTCCTTGAAGGCAGGACATCTTTATCTTCCACAAGGCCTAAAGTAGGGCACACAATTGTGCAGCAAATATTTTTGATTGACTTATGATTGATTTTTTTTACCTGTAGGAATGTATTAAGGGGCTGAACAACCTACTATCCACTTAATTCCTTCAACTCAATCGGGGTATAGATTTGGAAACCCCACAGGAGTCCCAGGAGACCAGCAGGGCCTGCATTGAGAGCCCTCTTTTACAGCCAGGGAAACTGAGGCTTGGCATGACCTTGGGTGGTCTCTGGACCTCAGTTTGCTCTCTGTGAGTCCAGCCTTGGTGCTTGGAGATGTGTACATAGACTTCCTGCTCCTGCTCTGCAGCACCCTGGGCACTCTGGGCACATCCCACTGAAGGCTCTTAGGGGCATGATCATGACTATGAAGGAGGCTCAGACTCTATGGGAAGCCCTAACTTAGCGATGACAGGTGTTTTGGCCAGAAAGTAACTCTACAGGAGTGGCACTGGGTGTTATCAGGTTGACCCCATCTGTACAGGGATCTTTTTTACAACACCCTTGGCAGATGGACATCCAGAGAGTGTCCAAGTAACTTGCTACCAACCAAGCAGGCTGAGAACTCCCACGGTGGTTAATTCCCACCATTATAGGTTCTTCCCTAAATTCAGCCAGCATCTGGCTCCCTGGAGTTTCTGCTCCCTGTTCCTCATTCAGCTCTACATCCTGTGGCTTCAGAGGGTGAACACGGTTCCTTTGTGACATGACAGTCCTTCTCTCATAACTCATCTCCCTAAGAGGCTGAATAAGCCCCAGTTTTCCAACTGTTCTCAGATGGCATGGTTGGCAGAGCCTCCACTCTGGACATCTTTCCATCTGTGTGGATGTCCATCCGTCAGGTGTGGTCTCACCTTACACGGTATGTGGCCACATGGGCAGCACTGTCTTGGAGAGATCTCATTGTATCATGACTTGATGGAGCTGGGAGAGACTTCAGGCACCATCAGGTCTATCTCTGGCCTGCAGCAGGAACCCCTGAGTGGCACTCCTGATAGGTGTGGCCTCCACATTACCCCACACTGAGGCAAAGCATGCCTTACTCCTTCCTGGGGTATCCCTGTGCCCTCCTGATGATAATCCTGTGACTCTTATTAGAGCTACTGTCCCCTTGGTTTCCTTCCGAACACTGGGTTCAAGATCCTGTATTTGCTCCCTTGGAACAGTAAGCCCTTGGCTGAATGGCCCCTCCCCAGCAGTGGGATTAGAGAGCTGTGGTGAAGGATCAGGGGGCCGGTGGGGTAGGTGAGGGCCCACGGCATGTCTGGGGTTACCGGTCACCTGTGTCAGGGGCGACGCACTCGCACTTGTAGGTGGTGATGAAGTTCGGCTTGAAGTCCATATTGATAGGGTAGTACTTGAAGGCACCGATCATCTTCTTGATGGCATCATAGATGAAGATGAAGCTGATGAGGGTTGAAAAGCCCTCCTCGGTGAAGCGGGTGATATATTTGATGATAAAGCTGGCATCTGTGGCCACTAGGATAAGGCACTGGACAGCTGAGTGTAGGCCAATCCAGAGGCGGAACTCCATGTAGTCCAGGCCATTGCCTCTGGAAGGCAGAGGGGAGGTGAGGGACCTCCAGCCCGGGGCTCCTGGTTGTGCTTGACTCCTCAGACCCACCCCTGAGTGGCTTATCTGTCCTCCTGTGGCACAGATGCCCTCCCAGGGATTGTGAAAGACTGGGGACAGGGACAATTCTTGGGTGCAGTTGTTTGATATTTGAGATCTCATGGGGGTCCAGTGTTCATCTTTATAAGAAATTTTTTTTTTTTTTTTTTTTTTTTGAGATAGAGTCTCACTTTTTTGACCAGTCTGGAGTGCAATGGCTCAATCTTGGCTCACTGCAACCTCTGCCTCCCAGGTTCAAGTGATTCTCCTGCCTCAGCCTCCTAAGTAGCTGGGATTACAGGCACCCGCCACCACACTCAGCTGATTTCTGTATTTTTAGTAGAGATGGGGTTTTGCCATGTTGGCCAGGCTGGTCTCAAACTCCTGACCTCAGGTGATCTGCCCACCTTGGCCTTCCAAAGTGCTGGGATTGCAGGCGTGAACCACTACGCCCAGCCAAAAAAAATTTTTTTAAAGATCTTATGGGGGAGGCAGGAAGGTGCTAAGACATCTCAGTGCCCACAGTTGGTAATAGACACCAGAGTCAGTGAAAAATGGGAATTTTGGAAGAACAGGGCTGGAGCAGCCCTTGGAAATGGTCTAGTCCAAACCCTCATGTTATAGAGGAGGCAACTGAGCCTGGAGTAGCGATGGGAGCTGCCTGGGTCTGGGTGTAACCTTCTGACCTTCAGTCCAAGACTTCATACACTATACTGCCTATCAAGTCACCATTGCTCACGAACTCAGTGGTGTGAATTTTCTCCTCTTGTCGTGGCTGTCCCCTACGGGCTGTGCCAATATGTACTAAGATGTCTTAAAGGCAGGTAGCTGGCAGGAGTCAGGAGGAGCCACCTGGTAGCCCTTCCCATGGTTAAAGATGGCTTTGGCACCTCCGCACCACCACCTCCCCTTTGGGCCTATTCCTGCTGTGGCCCCAGCATACCGCCCCAAGTGCGAGAGCAGGCACTGGGGGCCACCAACGGACACCTACTTGCTGAAGTCGAAGAGAAGCTTCTCAAAGATGAGGATGGGCCCCGTGCTGCTGAGAATGATGAGAGGCTGTCCCGAGAAGAGGCAGAACAAGGAGCCAGCCATGGCAGTGCCCAGGAAGCTCTCCATCACTCCCTGGGGGCACAAGGAATGTGTGACTCAGCATAGGAAGGAGAAGGGGTCTTTCCACACAGGCTGCAGCCCAGCAATCTCTCCACGGGCCCAGGCCACAGTGTTTATCCTTTGTTCTGGGCCCTTTCCTGCCTAAATCCTGTTCTCCATCTCCTGCACCCTCTACAACTTGCCACCACGACCAGTGTCACTCTGTTTAATTCCATCTAGATAAAGGTACCATGTGACTTCCTTTTGGCACCCAGGGCCTACAAAACAGCGGACGTGCTTTTCTCTGTGTCCATTCTACTCCCAGAGGACAGTCCATTTATCCATCTGATTATTCATTCATTCAAACATCTGTTTGGTGCTTTTACAGGTCAGATAATTCATTTATTCAAAATCCACTAACTGTCTGCTATGTACCGGGCATTGTGAAAGGACTGAGGACCCATCACTGAACAAGATAACACCTCTTCATTCTAGTGGGAGACACAGGTAAGTAACCAGGCAATTTCCATATAGCAGGGTTTCTCAACCTCTGCACAACGGACATTTTGGGCTAGATGATTCTCTGTTGTGAGGGGTCTGTCCTGTGTATTGTAGTGTGTTTAGTAGCATCCACAGCCTCTATACATTAGATACCAGTAGCAACCCTCCTCCCAGTTATAACAATGAAAACTGTCTGTAGATATTGTTAAATGTCTCCTGGGGTGAAAATTGTCCCTGGTTGAGAGCCACTGCCAAGAGGTGTGCTAAGCTGGGATAGGTTTAGAGTGCCACAGGAGCACGCAGTAGGGGTAAAGGGGTGGTCAGGAAGGCCTTCCTAGAAGTAGATAAGTGGAAACTGAGATCCAAAAAATGAGCAGAGAATTGGCCAGGGGAATGGGGTTAAGTGGAGTGACAAGAAACAGTGTCCCAGGAAGAGGGAGTAGTGTCTAAAAGGTCTGGAGCTGAAAAACAGCATGTACTTAAAGAACCAAAAGATGATCAGGATTGATGGAAAACAGAATGTAGAATGGGTGGGGAGGGTAGGAATTCTGAGAAAGAGAATGCTGGGAGGTGAGGTATGAGAGCCAGGTAGGGCCATGTGGTGAGGCCCACATGGAGCAGCTGGGATTTATGAGTCAAGGATAATGCTTAGTTTCTGGTGTAGACAGCTAAGTGAACCATGGTATCACCTGCTGTGCTGGGGAAGGGCAGAGAGCAGCAGGTCAGGAGCAAACACAAGGGATGCAATGTCAGCTCTGTGAATTGAGGGACCCTGAGGGGCAGTCATGGGGAATCCCAAGGGGCAGCCATGTGGACATGCCCAGAAGGCAGCTGGACAAATGGGTCTTCTCCTTGGTGCACTGAGCTTTCCAATGGCTCTACTTTGAAGGCCTCCACCGGAGAAGACCCTTGCCTAGGAGATTGGCAGGTGTCTCTGCTGAGCTGTTTTCCCCAGGGAGGCCTGAGTTGTTGTCATGGTCACAGCTTACCATCCTTCTAAAAATGTCTTAACTCCAAACTAAGAATTCAAAGTTAGTTTTTAAAAAGTGTGGGGAGAAGGCCACAATTAGCACTCCATTAGTTGTGCTGATTAAATTCACTCTAATATCAGTGGAAAAAGTACCAAATAACATGGCAGATGATTCCCCTTAACGGTTTGGCCTATTTAAATAATCATTAAATGTGGTCTTTAGTAATGAGATTTAGCTTCAGATCTTTAATATTGTCTTATTATTATCATTATTACTTGAAGGGTAAAGGATTACAAATACTGATGGCCTCAACCTGGCTGGTAGACGAAACCTTGGTTTTGGGATTACAAGATGAAACTTCCTGCTGCCACCAGGTGGTGGCAGATCTTACTTTTATACTCAGGGCCCCAGCTCACACACACCTGATAATTGTCGGTGGCATCCCCGAGAAGCCCACCAAAGGTGATCGCGTTGGTGATACAGCCGAGGTAGATGAATAGGATGGCAGAGATGGACTGAATGTGGAAGCCATCATAGAAGTCACTTGGGAACCAGGGCAACTTCCTCTTGATATCCAGACACAGTCCACCGAAGAACCTGCTCAAGACAGGCCCAGGGGCTGCTTTCTCACCACTAACACCAGTGCAGGGGCAGGGCTATTTACAAGAACCTGCAGACCCTGGGGCGAGGAAAGGAACTTGACTGGGGTGGATGGATCTTTCCACCAGAACATTTAGGGCCAGGGATGAATTCCTGTAGGACTGAGTTTGTGGTTGGCACCACCCACATTGGGAAGGGTGGACATAGGGGTTTTGGAGAGAGAAAGTCTGATGGGAATATGTCCTGGGGTAGACCCAACATTCCATGGAGAATGGAAGTCCTGGGGTCCACATATGGTGGTCCTCCTCACATCCCTGACCATCTGCAGGGTGTCCGCTTTTGGTGAACACAGGTATGTCTAACTTTCAGTGACAGAGGCATCCCAGATTATAACAGATTCATTAAGAACAGATCCTAAACCTTATAACTGGTTGGTATTTGCTTATTTTTTGATTTTGCTATCTGGAACAGTTGAGTGGGAGATTTTAGGTTTGGAGACATTGTTTACTGGGATTGCTATTCCCATAGCCCCTAATTCAGTCCTTAGCATGAAGCAGAGTTTCTCAACCTCATTTCTGCTGATATTTTGGACTGGATACTCCTTTGCTGTAGGGGCTGTCCCGTGCACTGCAGGATGTTTAGCAGCCACCTACTACATGCAAGTAGCATCGCCCCTCTCAAGTTGTGCCAAATCCCCTGGGCTCGGGGGTAGGGGGACTAAGGAGGGCCACAGTTGCATACAATGAGAACCACTGGTATAAAGCCAAGGGCATATAAAACATGACTTCATTCTCAAAGTCATGCTTTATATGTAGATTTGCAAGGCCACATCCTTTCCTAAATCTAGGTCAACCTGAATGACTCCAAGGGCTAGAAAAGAAACCCAGGCCAGGAGAACTTTCTCTTATTTTCTTTAAAAAAAAAGTTTTTGAATAGGTAAATTACGTTTTAAAAAAAGGTGCTGTTATTGAATTGTGTTGCCCCAAAAGATACATTAAGGTCCTCACATCTATGAAGATGTAATCCAGTTTAGATTAAGTATTGTGGTGGGCCCTAATCCAATATGACTGGGGTCCTTATACAAAGAGGAAAGTGCTCTGTGAAGACACACACACAGGAGGCCATGTGGTGGAGAGGCAAAGCCGGGGGTGATGCAGCTGCCAGCCAGGAACACCAAGAACTGCTGGCCACCATCAGAAGCCAGGAGGCCAAGAAGGATTCCACCCAGAGCCTCAGGGAGCATGGTGGTCCTGCCAACACCTGCTGTGGAACTCCTCGCCTCCAGAACTGCAGGAAAGTAACCTTCTGTTGTTTTAAGCCATCTAGTTTGTGGTACTTTGTTATAGCAGACCCAGGAAACAGGCACCAAAGGATGTCTAAGAGAAAAGTTTGGGTTCCTCTCCTCTTGTATGGGTCTCAAATTCTCCTCTCCTGAGGCAATCCTTTTTGGGGATCCGTGATGGGGTTCAAGGGCTCTGGGAGGGAAAGAAGGCAGGGGTGACCTCGAGTGGGCACTACAGGCCGTGGTTGGGAAAGGTCCCCAGAGGGTGGCTGAGAAGGAGAGAAGTCTAAAGGACAGCAGGGTCACTGGGAGGCCTGGGGTGGGCACCTTCCCGTCCAGGTAAGTTCTTCCCCGATTTCGTGCATGGCTGGCATCTCTCCATCATCCCCGCTGCTCGTTCCACTGGCCCCGCCACCGCCAGCCCCACCGCCACTGCCACCACCACCACCACCTCCATTGCCTCCTCCAGCAACTCCGCCGCCTCCTCCTACAGAGCCATTCATCTGGCCCAGCTCTGCTAGGGAGAACACAGATTTCCTGGAAGAGAAGGGGGATGAGGGAGAGTGGGTCCCCCAGAGCACCCCTCACCTCTCCAACCAAAATTATGAAATATCTTAAAAGACAGACAAAAATGCAGAAAATGATCTAACAATATCCACACGCAGGTCACCTAGACTTTACAAATGTTCACATTTAGCCATATTTGCTTCTGATATATTTTATTATTTTTAAACTTATTTTAAAAGTTATTTTGAGACAGGGTCAAACTCTGTTGCCCAGGCTGGAGTACAGTGGCATGATCACAGCTCACTGCAGCCTTGGCCTCCTGGGCTCAATCAATCCTCCTGCCTCAGCCTCCAGAGTAGCAGGGACTACAGGTGCATGCCACCATGCCCAGCTAATTTGATTTCTTTTTGTAGAGACAAGATCTCACTATGTTGCCCAGGCTGGTTTCAAACTCCTGGACTCAAGTGATCCACCCACCTCAGTGTCCCAAAGTGTTGAGATTACAGGCATGAGCCACTATGCTGAGCCTCAGATGTATTTTAAAGAGCAATAAAATGATACCAACAGAGTTGAAGCCTCCTTTTTCTCCCCCTACTGCCCATTCTCATACACACCTCTTGTCAGCAGAGGGTACCTTCTTGGGTGGCTCAATTCGGATATTTGGGTCCCATTCTCCCGGGGGAAGGACAATGACCTCATCCAGAAATTCATCAATTCCTGCAATCAGATCGTCCCGATTGCGGGCTTTGTAGGCCACGTCACTGAAGAGCTGGTGAGGAGAGAGGAGGGAGACAAGAAAGACTGCATCTGTTTCTAACATGCCCGGGAGCATATCACATCTAGTTTTTAAAGAAATCATTTTGAACCACATCTCCCACTGACAACTCACTCTCAGTTTTTGGAATGAGACCATAGCACATTGGTAAAATAAACCACAACGGGACACAGCAGGCGCTGGGGGAAGGCAGCCTGTCTTGGATCTGAAGGCCAGGTCTCCATATTCTTGCTTGTAGGACTTTGGTTGAGTTACTTAACCTTTCCGTTTCAGTTTTCCACACAGCACGTGCATTAGAAAACCTTTGTAGAGCCCAGTCCAAGGAGCTCAGATATTTCACATCCATTTTTTACTTCCAGCCCTTCGCCCTTGGAGGCTCACGTCGTGTTGTTCACACTGTCTCCAGAGTGTGCTTTCTGACTTACAGATTCGATGGGATATGCTCATGTTTAACCTTTTCCCGTTTAGGAAAAAAAAAGGTGCAGCTCATTGCCAGCACTCATTTAATTTTACAGAAACACTCTTTAAGGCCAAAGCAAATCTGACTGATTTTCAATGTGAAAATGAAATATAAAAATTATTCTTAGAGTTATTTCTAAAAACAACTAACATCAGAATCACTGGAATGATCAGAGTCATCTAATTTGGGAAAACTGGATTCATCGAATGAATCTTAGGCCAAAAACTGAGAATGATGTTAGCATCACTCGTAGGAATGCTAGTTTTCTAGCATTTGATATTTTCAATGATTGAGAGTTAGTATATTTTGTAAATGGAAATACCACAACTAAAAACAGAATGCTATAAGTAGAATGATGTCTTTTGTTTCCAAAGTCAATATACAAGAGCAATGCAAAAATAATAAAAGTGAGACATTTCCTGGGGAAAAGTTATCTTGGGGTAAACCCTGCAGCTGCAAGCACTGCCAGTGAGTATTCTTGGCACAAACGGGAAAGAGTTAAAGTCCTCTAGGCTCCCCATCACTCTGGGGACAGAGTGTTACTCAGCTCTGCTTACAGGCTCTGTGTAGTCTCTGGCTCACCTCACCTCCTGCCCTTGAAGCTCTTACACTGAGCCTACATCAAACCACCTCCATCCAGCTTCTCTGAGCCTGATCCATTTCCTTTGTTTGGAATGCTTGCCTCATAGCCTGGTGCTGGGTCTGCCTTCCTCCTGCTCCTCCTTAGCTTTAAAGCCCCCTCATCCATGAAGCCCTCCTTGACCCCCTGGGAAGCTAGCACATGGTTAGTTTTACAATTATCGTCTGTCCCTCACACTTGATTGGTTCTCCTAAAGGACAATGACTATTCCCTGATTCTCATCATCTTTAGCATCCTGTGTAGTGCCTGTTACACAGTAGGTGCTCAAATGTGCTGGCTGGATAAGTTAATGAATGAAGGTGCAGTGCTTGTTGCAGGAGCTGTAAAATTCAGGAGTACAAGCTTCTGGTTACCACTTACATCATCTACCATGAGGGTTGCAATGGCACGGCCAATTTCATTGTAGGATTTTGCTCTCCCAGAAGGTCCCAGCAGTATAAACAGAAATCTGCAAAGAAGATGGAGAAGATTAAGGAAGAGGAGCATGAAAGTGAGAAGGAAAAATAGAAATAAGTAAAGAGAATTCTTTGGCCCTGAACAGTATGCTTTTTTTTTTTTGAGACAGGTGCTTGCTTTGTCACCCAGGCTGGATGGAGTGCAATGGCACAATCTTGGCTCACTGTAGCCTCCACCTCCTGGGCTCAAGCAATCTCCCACCTCAGCCTATTGAGTAGCTGGGACTACAGGTGTGCACCACCATGTCCAGCTAATTTTTTGTATTTTCAGTAGATACAGGGTTTCACCATGCTGCCCAGGCTGGCCTCCAACTCCTGGGCTTGAGCGATTCACCTATCTTGGCCTCTCAAAGTGCTGGGATTAGAGGTATGAGCCACTGCGCTGGGCCCATTTTTAACATTTTTACTTCCCTCCATGGAACCCTATGTTTGCTTTGGAGGAACATTTCCTCTTCCCCTCCCATGAGGCTCCCCATCAAGCATCCTCACCTTTGTCTTGCTGCCCAAGCCCACCTGACAACTTCTCTCCCAGTTGTTGCCTCCTTCTTTATTATTATTATTATTATTATTTTAATTTTTTTTCCAAGATGGAGTCTTGCTCTGTCACCAAGGCTGGGGTGCAATGGCACGATTTCGGCTCACTGCAACCTCTGCCTCCTGGGTTCAAGTGATTCTCCTGCCTCAGCCTCCCGAGTAGTTGGGATTACAGACGTGCACCACCACACCTGGCTAATTTTTTTGTATTTTTAGTAGAGACAGGGTTTCACCATGTTGGCCAGGCTGGGCTCGAATTCCTGACCTCATGATTGGCCCGCCTTGGCCTCCCAAAGTGTTGGGATTAAAGGCATGAGCCACTGCACCCGGCCTCTTTTATGATTATTTTTAATAAACTCTAAAACTCTTCCCTAGTCAGAAGATTTCCCTTCCCAGCAGCCTCCAAGTTTAGAGGTGTCTCTGACAGCACTAACAGTCAACAGGACTGCTTACTGACTGCACTGCTAACTGGCTCCCTAAGGGTGGCATGGGGACAGGTTTCAGTGGCTCTCACCTGGTGGGGACAGGCACCTCGGTCACTCCTCCCAGCATGGCCGACTGGATGAGGCGCACGAACGCGATGAATGGCTGGTCTAGGAAGTCCACCTCACCCACGAGCACGTTGGAGGCTTCTGAGTCCTTGGGGATCTTCTTCATGAATTTGTTTTTCCGCTGGACAGGGAGGGGAAATGAGATTGCCAAGGAAGACTTCCACCTGCTCTCCTTCACTTCCCTTCAGACTGCTTTGAGGCCTAACTTGAAAAAAATTCTCTCAATGTTGCCAAGACACTGAAAGAATAAACAAGTACTCCTTTGATTCTGCAGATGGGAAGACTGAATGTAGGTTAACCCCAGGCACCATTAAGCCTTGTAGATGGGAAGGTACTGGCAATGACTCTCCTTGACTAAGACATTCCTTGATGGATGAAAACGGCTCCACTGAGCTGTGGGCTGAGGGGTCAAAGAAGAGCCCTGGGGTTGCCAGACATCAGGCCTGGATTGCCTTCTTCAGGCTGAGCAGATGGGAAGTCTCAGTGCTTCTACTCTAGCCACCCAGACCTCCCCTCTCCACCTTCACTTTTGGTGGCTGTGGGGAGGAGGAGGCCTGTTCTGATGGTCAGAGTAGACAGGCCTTCTTTTCCCTTTGTCACCAGCTTCCTGGCTCACAGGAATTCCTGGACCAGTCTCCAAGTCTGTGGGAGACTTCCATGCCCCCAAGTTACCCCCAGGGGACCTCCCAGGAAATTCATAACTTCTGGAATTTTCCAGCAGAGACTATCAAGGTAGCCTCTCTTCAGTCCCTCTGGCTAGTGTCTCTTCAAAGGAAGAAGGTCACACAGGCAGAGCCAGTGGGGTCTGATGTGAGAGGTATTGGAGACAAACCCTCCACCCAAACATGTTCCCACTGTCTGCATTTATAACTTCATTCTTCCTGAGTCCTCTTTTACACTGAAGATCCTCCAGGGGTGGCTACTTTCAAGCTCTTCTTAGTCCTCAACATCTTAGAATGAATTCCTTTTTCAGATTGCTTTCTCTCTGGGCAGCAAGGGCATGGACAGACAAGAGACAGAGATAATTTTGTTGGAAGATGGAGGGGAGCAGTTGGGGTGGCGGCAGGGCTGCATGCAGTCCACAGTGGCTGACACAGTGGGAAAGAGCCTGGGGGTAGAGGACAGCTCTGAAGAGAGCACCTGTGAATATCACAATTTTCCCACCAATCCCCCTTCTGCTGGAGTCTTTCCTGTGGGCACAGGCCTGTTTCTCACAGCCTCAGTGAAGACACAGGTTCCTTGTGTCTCTTCCTGTCCCTGTGGAGGGGTCAGTTGTGGGCATGGATATGGTCAACAGGTCCTGCCCTTTTGTCCCCATGGCTGTTTCCTGATTCGATTCATGTGGGGGCATCATACACACTGGGCTGGTTGGCCTACCAGCACGAGGAGGGGCTCGTGAGCAACAGCTGTTCCCTTATAATCTTTTAAATCCAATTGGGGAAAAAAAAATAACCCTCCACAACCACCTGGGCAACCATCAGTAGCCCCCAAGGATCCTAATATAGTGAGAAAAAGCAGGAATTGACAGGAACACCAGAGTCCCCGAGACTCAAAATGTCCCTTTGTCTCAGGCATGGTCAGTTGATTACTAAGCAGCATTCTTCAGGGTGGAGGGCTGGGAGTACCAGGGCAGTCACCGTCTCCAAGCATCAGGCGGGGTTGGGGCGGGGGTGTCCAGGGAAGGGGAGGAGATGCAGGCTGGGCAGAAGCACCCTGCAGATGAGGCTTCGAAAACAGCAATGCTTCAGGGTGTCCCAACAAACCCACTTGTTTTTGTTGTTGTTTTGCTTTGAGACAAGAGTCTAACTCTGTCATCCAGGCTGGAGTGCAGTGGCACCATCTTGGCTCACTGTAACCTCCTCCGCCTGGGTTCAAGCACTTCTTATGCCTCAGTCTCCTGAGTAGCGGGACTACAGGCATGTGCCACCACGCCCGGCTAATTTTTGTAATTTTCATCGAGACAGGGTTTCTCCATGTTGGCCAGGCTGGTCTCAAACTCCTGGCCTCGAGTGATCCATCAGCCTCAGCCTCCCAAACTGCTGGAATTACAGGTGTGCACCACCACACCTGGCCATCCAACCAACCCACCTGTAATACAGGAGAGAGGAGAAATTGAACCAGGGACTTGGTCCTTCCTTACACATTGTGACATGTTTGGTAAGAAGGCCAGGGTTGTGGCATCCCAGAAATGGGAGCATGCTACTGTTCCAACCAACCCTGGCTTGCCCACAGCCTGGACGTGGGCTTGTATAACCAGGGCCCTGCTGACTCCACTTCCTGAACCCTTGGGGACTCCAGTCTGGCTCTGCACTGCAGAGTCACTGCAGCACAATGATGCTGTCTGAATCTACTCTCTGTTCACTGGGAATCTGCTAGCTGAGGGCAGGCATGGAGTTTAGCTTTGCACAAACCAATGATGAAGAAAAAGCCTGCAGAGCAAATGCCTCTGGGCTTGCACCTAAAGAGCGCCCACTAGCATAGACCACTGATGCTGCAAATACCGAGAAGCAGCATCAGGTATCAGCAAGGAGAACTAGATGCTGGCGCTAGGTGATGGTTTCCAGTCCCTAAATCAAAGAAGCACTGCCTGGTGAAAGTGACAGCTAGTGTTATTATTATCACTCACATATTCATTAAAACAGGTTATAAAAACTTTTACTAGGTAATGCTTTCTTATCACAGCTCCGCTGTCTGTGTGCATGAGTAAAAGTGGTTTTCCTCTCCAAATAATGTTCCAGAATACTGACTAGTTCCTCAATTACTTCCAAATTAAGGGCTCTGGAGTTAGACTGCCCAGGTCAAATCAAAGTTCTGTCTTTCAGCTGTATAGACTTGGGTGTGTTATTTAACTGCTGTGAGGCACAGTGTTTTCTCATGAGTAAAATGGGAATGAAAATAGTACCTTTGTGATTCACAGAAAATGCCCAGCACAGTGTAGTGCATGTGGTGTGGACCTTAAATATTGATTGATTTTGTTACTGTTGTTATTAATTTATTTGGGCCCGGACACTGACATGAGGAGCTGATTTTGTTTTTGCCTTCCACCATACTTAGGGGTGGCTGGAAGGCCTGGAGGTCACCCAAGCTCCTGAAGGATCCTCGTCAAGTCTCAGGTTTCCTTTGTCATCTTTCTTCCTACTCCTGGGAAGATACACAAGAGGACCATGGGACCTCCCGTCCTTGAGGTGTGCAGGAGTTGGAATTAAGGGGGCCTCTTCTGGGCTTCCCCAAGAGGCACAGTCACAGGATTCTCAAATGGACCCAATTTGTTTGCAGAATTCTGATCTCATCAAGAGGGTTTCAGCCCAGCTCACGGGAGACCACAGGAAGAAGATGCACTATTGAACAGTCTAATTAATTAACTACCACTGCTGTCCCCACAGGGAGATTCTTTTCTGTCTCTCTACCAGCCCCAATCCCTATCCCATCTTTAAAGGTGCTTGTGCGTCACCGGATAGATGAAGCCATGTGTGCTGGTCTTCTCTCTCCCACAAATCCTAAGCTGAAGGACAGCCGGTGCCTCATTTGATCATGTTTTCTGTCCCACACCCCCAGGGCCTGACACAGAGCCAGCACCTGGGACTCTGCTAGTCCCTGACTGCTGGCCTTGGCAGAGTCCCCCAGGCAGCCCAGAGTCCCCACTGGGGACCTTCCTGGAACTCCCACTCCTTTGTAGGAGTGGAATTCTGCCCATAGGGGATCCCTGCTCCTGAAACCAAAGACTTCTTCCTGCCCTGGCCCTTCATTGCAGCTAAATGCAGGGGTTTTACTACCTGGTCTGTGTTTGGGGTGAGAGAAATGTCATTCATGCTTCTGCTCTGGGCATGACCTAGGAGAGAAGGAAAACAAGATCCATCAGGGGAAGCCAGGCTCTCACAGGACCCTTTCCTATGGACTCTACTCATGTACCTCTCCCATGTTCATAACAAAGCAAACCCCCTCCCCCTTAATCCTGGAGTCCCTTTAAGTTAGGACCCTCTCACTTTCCTTCTGTTCAATGGTCACTTTCCTGAAAGAGGTGTCAGACTCCAGGTTCCATTGTTTCCTTCTCCCTCCTCAATCTAACATAGTCTAGTCTCTACCCCTCCACCCCACCTTCTTGGATATCACCAGGCTGTCTACTCTGGGTGCAGCTCTGGACCAGGTCCGGATAGGAGGAGGGACACAGATGTATTATTACATGAGGTTCCATGTGTCACTTAGCTTGGAATTTGCTGGAGAGGGGAGCAGTTTCACCTCTGTCCTCCATGACCGGTGACAGTCTTTAAACGTGGGCTGGGGATTTAGGCTGGCAGAGGGAAGGAAGGTGGGCTTCCCATGAGAACAGTGATAGTCAATTATTTGAACTGCCCAGTAGTTCCTTCCTCTGTTAAGAGGGAGAAAGCCAGCTCTCCTCTCCCACTAGCCCAATCTGGCGGACACCTTCAGACCTATCGTGTCTTGGCTATTGGACTGTGCCACTCGTGGTGTCCGGAATGCTGCTCCTCTTCGCTCTCCTCCTCTCATTTCTGTCCGAGGATCCTCTCCTGCTTGGGCCTCCCAGGGCCTTGTCCTTGCTCTCATCCCTTCCAGGTGCCTCAGCCTCTCCGCTGGTCAATCGCCCCCACTCCTGTTGTTTCCAACACCCATTTGGGCTGAGGACGCCCACAATGCATCTTTAGTCTGATCCCTCTTCTGAGCTCTAGACTCCTTGGAGCAGTCCCCTCTGGCACCTCAAAGGCAACTCTTTTACCCTCCACCAAATCACTTTCCTCATGGACACATTCCACTCAATGCCCCTCCCTCCCATCCACCAGCACTTCAGACAGAAATCTAGGAGCAGCCTTGGGCCCTCCCTCTTCATTACCTCCTACTTCCCACTGGTCCTTCAGTTCCACCTCTGTCCCTTCCTCTCCATTCTGGAATGCAGGCTCAGTCTCTGCCTTCCAATGTTGCCCCTTCTAGATTATTCCTACTCAGACAGAAATCTGATCACAGCATGCTCCTGCTTCAAGCTTCCCAGGGGTTCCCATTATCTTCAGAATAAAACCCGGGTTCTTTTGCTGGGTGCACAAGGCCCTCTTTGATTTGACCCTCTCTTCCCCTTAACTCCTATACTTCCTGTGAACTGAACCGATGTTTTGCTTTCATAGCTCCAGATCCTTCTCTTCCATCCCCCAATCTGCTATTTGTTTCCTTTGTTTACAACTCCTTCTTCCTCCTCCTTGCTCCTGGAAAACTTCTATTTATGCTCCAAGACTCAGTCAGCATCTCCTCCTCTCTGATCCTTCCCCTCTGCGCTGTGTTCTGCATGATGGGCCACCTCAGGGTGGGTGCCCACCTTGAATATGACCTGGTTCACACAAAGCTGTCATCATCCATTCATGCCTCTTGTCCCAGTGGTTCCCACCCCCAAGCAGTGTTGGTAGGGAGGTGACCTCATATACAATGACAACAGAGTGGAAGGTCTTCCCGAAGCCACTCTCTACCCACTGAACACTGCCACTGGGCATCCCTTTGTGGAATAACAAGGCCGGGGAGACTCAGTGGACTTGGGTCATCAGGACAGAGAGGGAAGACTGCAGCAAACGCCTGCTGTGCCCAAGGCCATGGGCAGGGTCTGCATTGCCCCCAAGTCACTCCTCGGCCTGGACAGGGGCACAGCACTGGGCTGCACTTGTTAACATCTTGGCATTTTAGTAAAAGTACCTAAAGGAAAATAGTCCTTCACTGCTTTTTCTTTTTCACTTCATTTTCTAAGTTCGCTCCTTTCTTTCCCCCAGTTTGCCTGTCTGTGTATCCCTGACAAGGTGAGGTGTGTGAAAAGCCTGTCTGTCACCTCTCACCTCAAACCCACACCCCGCCCCTGACCAGCCATTCCCAGAAAAAAGGGGCCATGACTCTGCCCACATTTCTTTTTCATGGTGGCACGAGACTGCCACCCAGTGATGGGAATGCTGCCTGACTGAACAGAAGGAAAGGACCTTGCCTGCTTTTGATTCCATTTCCAGAAAAGCTTTTCACCAAAAAACAGGGTTAATGTCAGTTTGATGAAGATGAAGATACAGACTAAGATAAAAACACCTAGAACATGGGAGTGGGTATTGATTACACCAGGATGTGACTGAGAGCCTCATTTTTCAGAGGAATGACTTGAATATTATGGTAGTAAATGAGGCCCTGACAGTAGCCTGGGTTTAGAGTGAAAGTTAGGCTCCTCCTGATGCATGCCCTGAGAATTCTTGGCAGATCCTGGGCTTTGTCTCCCCTACCTACGGCAATGTGGCCATGTCACAGCTGCCACAGCCCGAATAAAGTTGCCACAGAGTGGCGAAGCACACACTCACACAGACGTCCGTAATTTGCACTCTGCCGCATCCGCAGGTCCTCCGTGGAGCGGTGTAGACTCGGGCCAGCACCAGGGCTCCGGGCGGGACTGCGATCTGGGAGGAGAATCAGAAGAGACTTGGCTTCCACAGCCTTGCTGGTGTAGTGAAGCCTCTTGGGTTAGCTCACTTTAGATAAAAAAAACTGGGCAGCAAGACATGTCTCTTCCCCTTCTAGGAAGAAATTCTTTTTTCTTTTTTTTTTAAATTTAAGCAAGTCAATAGTCTGAACAAGATTACAGGCTGGGCGCGGTGGCTCACGCCTGTAATCCCAGCACTTTGGGAGGCCGAGGCAGGTGGATCACCTGAAGTTGGGAGTTTGGGACTAGCCTGGTCAACATGGTGAAACCCCGTCTCTACTAAAATACAAAAAATAGCCAGGCATGGTAGTGGGCGCCTGTAATCCCAGCTACTTGGGAGGATGAGGCAGGAGAATCACTTGAATCCAGGAAGCAGAGTTTGCAGTGAGCTGAGATCACGCCATTGCACTCCAGCCCAGGCAACAGAGTGAGACTCCGTCTCAAAAAAAAAAAAGGACAAGATTACAGACAGAATATTTGTACTGTTGAAAGTGAGATAGATACACAGTTCATTAAATGGGCACAAGATGTAGTAGACTGCTTGGGTTCATCCCTGATTCCACACTTACTGGCTTTGTGACCTTAGGCAAGTTACTTAAACTCTGTGCCTCAGGCGTCTCATCTATAAAATGGAGACAAGAACCATACCTACACACCACAGCGTTTTTGTTAGGATGAAGTGAGTTAAAACAGGAAGAGCACTCAGAATAGTGCCCAGAAGGTAGTTAAGTGCTGAGTATGTGTCTGTTGCTATTATGGTATGTTAAACACTTCCTGTTGTTTTGGGAGGGATTTTTTGAGACAAGGTCTTGCTCTGTCGCCCAGGATGCAGTGCAATGGCACAATCTCTGCTCACTGAAAGCTCCGTATCCTGGGTTCAAGCAACCCTCCCACCTCAGCCTCCTGATTAGCTGGGACTACAGGTGTGTGCCACCATGCTTGGCTAATTTTTTGTAAGGCGGGGTTTATGCCATGGGGTTTAAACCATGAGGTTTATGTATTTCTTGTAGAGATGGGGTTGATGCCATGTCACTCAGGCCGGTCACAAACTCCTGAGCTCAAGCAATCCGCCCACTTGGACTCTCAAAGTGCTGGGATTACAGTTGTGGGTCACCATGCCCAGCTCACTTCCCATTTTTAAGTAGTTCATTTAGAGGCTCCTCAATGTTTGTAACGTAGCAACTTTGCTCTGGTTACTGTGTTTGTCTGACAGGCTCAGCAGGGCTAGTGTCTCTGGGCATCTAGGCTCGGATATTGATAGTGGAGTGTTGGAGATTTCAGATGTGCGCGTGGAACAATTCAGTCTCTCTGAATGGCCCCAGGTCCTGCTAATCAGAGTGACATCAACCACCAGATCTACAAGCCCTGGCACTCTTGAGATAAGCCCAGCCCCTTCTACCACCCTGATGTGTTCCATTTCCTGCTGAGGCTCTTGACCTCTCCAGGGGGTTTGATGTGAAACTTTTGGGTCCTTTCCATAGCAAGCCATCTCTACTAGCATTTCCCAATGCTGTGTGACATGAGAATCTCTTGGGGTGCATTCTAACCTCTCTCTCTTTTTCCAGGCCATACCCCAGACCAACTGACTCCAACTCTCCAGGGGTCCAGGCATTAGGACACGTCTCAATCTCCAAAGTGATTTGCCATGTGCAGCCCTAGCTGAGAACCAACTCTCTCCCTAGAAATTGTTCTGCTCTGGTGGTGGCAACAACATGCGAGTGTGGCTGGGGTCCCCACAGGCCTGCCAGAGGCCTGGGATCCCCAGAACATCAGAATTTCTCCAGAAACTCCCAGCCCCTAAGGTGGGCTCACCCAGGTACCAGGGCCTGATACTGGCCCTGCATGTCCCATGCCTACCAGCGTAAGGCCTGACTCACTTGTGGTGGAGACTGACTTCCCAATGTCGACTAAGGAGCGGTGGATGGGCTTCTTGGTTTGGTGACGGTGCCTCCTCAGGAGGACGTAACTGACCCTCTCCCGGAGCTCTGGTCGCAGGAGACCATCCTCAATCTGCTTCTCAATGACATCATCTGTGTGGAAAACATACACACCTCGTCCCTGTGGGACAGAACCACCCCAGGGTATGGGGGTCTTCAGTTTCACCTGTTATTAGTGGGATTAAATGTGGCAGGAGGGTCAGTGGAAATACTCCTGGATTTGCCACTAGCTGTGGAAAACTGGGCACATCATCACCTCTTGGCCTCCTCCTGTTCAAGGGCATGTGCATGTCTGTGTGTGTGTGTGTCTCTGTGTGTGTGTGTGACTCTGCTCTTTCTGTCAGTGTTCTTATGAAAAGGGAAAGAAACAGTACATACGAAACTGCCCCAGGAGGCACAAAAATCCTGTGTTCAATGGTTTTAATCCTAAAATGAACTCTTTTTAGAAAAGTATTTTGGGCAAAACACTTCTGGCAAAATCCAATGTGCTAGAACAAAAATCACAAAAAATTTTAGTGGCGTTAAGGCAAGCTACCTCTTCCCTTTGACACACCACTAAATGACAGCTAATTTCCTAAAGATGAATGATGACCCAGTTTACCCTGAAAAGAAACAGGTTGCCATGGCAAGAGGTGTCTCTGACTATGCAAGAGGCCCTCTCCCCTTTGCTACATTTCTGGTTGGCATTTTGGAGGATGGTCTTTTCGTCTCTACTGGAGGTCTACATGAAACTGAAACTTGGAATGACTATGATCCTGCCCTGGGAGCAACAGAGGTCTGCAATTCTGGTCTCTGCAGAATCAGGTGTCAGAGATGGGCCAGTCACATAGACTCGAGGGCAGGCATGAGGTCAGGGGAGCTGCCTGGTTTGCAGGGACCACAGGAGAGATGCACATAGTGGCCCCTGCCTCACCTATGATCTGTGGTAAGGAGCCGCTGTCCAAATCCAGCAGCACTGTCCCCGTCTGCAGGCAGGTACGGAGCTCGAAGAGGCTGTGCAGGGACAGTGTGGACACGTGGGGTTTGCTCCAGCGTTCGCCGCCTTCCTCTACCTTTTCTTCAAACTTTATCCACCTGGAAGGGTAAGGATAGGGCTCAGTGCGGCCAGGGCCCTCAGGAGGAGGCCCGCCTGGGTCTCCCCAAGAGATGGGTGTCCTGTGGGGTCAAGCTATGTATGTGGTTGTGGTGTTGGTCCTAGACTCATAGGCAGAGGATCTCTTGGGAATGCCCTAATTTGTCCCCCACTCCTCCTGATACTGTCATGTTAAGGAAAGTGGCATCCAGAGAACTATACAGGGGCATAGGGGATCTTCTGGGAGTGATGGAAATGTTCTAAAATTGGATTGTGGACATGGTTGCACAATTCCATACATTTTCTAAAAATCATTTACCAGTACACTTACAATTAGAGAATTTTAAGTTACTCTAGAACAATAAGGCTGTTTTTTAAAAAAGCCTCAACTGGAACCTGATTATCTCAGGCTGTTCACACATGACTGTTCAGTGTGGTTTGCTGGGAGCAGGAAAAATGTTCCCTGACGAAAAATATTTCTCCCTGAGTTCCCCTGCAAGGTCTGAGGTTTCCATGCTTTACACTCTTTTTGCCTCTGAAAGTTCAGGTAAAAATCCACATGCCATCCGGGGAAGGAAAGAAAATAAACCAAGGATGTATAGGGATCTGTCCTTTCTAGAAGCCTTGGAATCATGGGCTGGGTGTTCAAGTAGAAAGGCCTCAGACAGAGCCAGGGGAGCAAGGAGTCCTGGCTGGAGACACCTAGCTCCCCTTTGTAAGATGTCAACCACAAATGCATGGGTAGCGCCAATCTATTACAACTTAAATCCCAAGGGAGGACTTTTGGACCATGACTATCTAATTCTAAAGTTCCTCTAAAAAAAGTAAACGTATGAGAATGGTTGGGGAAAGTTGAAAAACGAGGAGAAATGGGGATGGGGCATGCCTTAGCACATATAAAAACTTGTGGAGAAGCTTCAGTAATTAAAGCAGTGTGATTCTAGGCCAGATATAGACAAGGGATCAATGGCACAACAGTCCAGAAACAGATCTGTATATCCATGGGAATTCAGGGTTTTTTTTTTGTTGTTGTTGTTGTTTTAGACAGAGTCTCACCCAGGCTGGAGTGCAGTGGCATGATTTCAGCTCACTGCAGCCTCGACCACCTGGGCTCAGGTGATCTTCCCAACTCAGCCTCCCAAGTAGCTGGGACTACATGCATGCACCAATTTGCTTGGCTAATTCTTGTATTTTTTGTAGAGATGGGGTTTCATCACGTTGCCCAGGCTGGTCTTGAACTCCTGGGCTTAAGTGATTGGCCCACCTTGGCCTCCCAAAGTGCTAGAATTACAGTTGTGAGCCACCACGCCTAGTCACAGAATTTGGGTTTTGATTAAGGAGTTGTTTAAAAGACAACAAACCTAAAAATAGAAAGTTAAATCCCTACTTTTCACCAAACACAATACTAAATTCTTCATGGATTAAAGTCTAAACATAAAAATAAATATATAAGCAAAAATGCAAATGTACTAGAAGAGAATATAGGAGAGCATTCTTATATTCTTGGAGAATATTGTGGAGAAAGACTTCCTAAACAAAACCATATGTATAAAACCATAAAGAAAAAAAAAATGGACAGATTTGATTACACAAAACTAAAATAAATGAAAACTTCTATATAGTAAAATAGCATATAAATCAAGTTTGAAGAAATGTGCTGAGAAAAATATCTGCAACAAAGAAAGCACCAAAAGACTAATATTTATAATACAACAATGCTCCTTTGAATTAATAAGAAATTAACCAATTAACTCAAATTATCCAATAGAAAGTAAACAATCCTGAGAAGAAATGAAGATGGCCAACAAACATATGAAAAGATGCTCAACTTTACCAGTAATCACGGACTTTTAAATTACTACAAATGAAATAACATTCTTCATTTCTTACATGGGCAAAAGTTAAAAAGGTTGACAACTTCCTATGTCAGTGAAAACATAGGGAGGTGGCCTCTTATCTGCTGCAGGTGTAATGACACAGCCTTCCTGGTGTGGGCAGCCTCTTTCAACATTCAGTGTGCATGCCTTTTGACCCAGCGGATCCATTTCTAGGAAACGATCATAGGAATATAATTACACTGCCACACCCTGTAATATGTACACAAGGACGCTCAATGAAGCCTTATCTGTTAGGCCAAAGAACTGGAAACCACCAGGTTTTCAGTAGAAGCATGATTATATCAATTCTGTATGTCTGTGCTGTGGATCCCCCAGAAATAAATAAAAAATACGAGGGTGAACTCACATGCTGACAGGACGGACACTACCATCCCATTTTATAAAAAAGAAAAACACATTTGTGTGTGCACGCACATGTGTCTGAAGAAAGCAAAAGTTTTGGAGGGATCAATGTCAAATGGTTAACAATGATTACTTTGAGCAGAGGAGTAGGATTGTTGTTGGGGAGGGATTTAAGACTTTCACTCTATTGGGGTTAGTTAGTGTAGTGGTTAGGCTGGGTGAGGTGGCTCATGACTGTGATTCCAGTACTTTGGGAGGCCCAGGCGGGTGGATTGCCTGTGCTCAGGAGTTTGAGACCAGCCTGGGCAACATGGTGAAACCCTGACTCTACCAAAAAATACAAAAAATTAGCTGGGCATGATGGCACGCAGCTGTGGTCCCAGCTTCTTGGGAGACTGAGGTAGGAGGATCACTTGAGCCTGGAAGGCAGAGGTTGCAGTAAGCCGAGATGGCACCACTGCACTCCAGCCTGGGTGACAGAGTGAGACTCCGTCTACATTTTTTTTAAAAAAGAGCGCAGTCTATGAAGCAACACTATCAGGTTTTGAAAACCACCTCCATCATTTACTAGCTGAGAATCTCAGGTAAGTTACTTAATCTCTCATCACCTTTGATTTCTTCAGTAATAATAATAGTGTACAGCAATTAGAGCAGTGCCTAGCACACAAAATACTCTGTTAATGTTAGCTATTAAGTTAAAAATAAAGAATATTACTTTTGTAATTTTAGGAACAATAAAAAAAAAAGAAGAAAGCAAAGTCATTCAAAGCTTCTCCAAACAGGAGACATCATATTGATGTCTTGATGGTTGATATTTTGGTAACTGCCATTCTAGATCTCCCTGTGCATGCACCCACATATGCCTGTGCATGCGTGCACATATGCCCATGTTTGCATTAACTTTACATTAATTGCACCACAAGGACCTTAAGGGCATAGTATCTAATGGACATCCTTTTGTGTCTATTAGTATTAACATCATTCTGGGCCGGGCGCGGTGGCTCACGCCTGTAATCCCAGCACTTTGGGAGGCTGAGGAGGGCAGATCACGAGGTCAGGAGATCAAGACCATCCTGGCTAACACGGTGAAACCCCGTCTCTACAAAAAATACAAAACATTAGCTGGGCATGGTGGTGGGCGCCTGTAGTCCCAGCTACTTAGGAGACTGAGGCAGGAGAATGGCGTGAACCCAGGAGGCGGAGCTTGCAGTGAGCCGAGATCACACCAGTGCACTCCAGCCTGGGTGACAGAGTAAGACTCCGTCTCAAAAAAAAAAAAAAAAAAGAGAAAAAAACATCATTCTGAAGTGTTTCTAGTATTCCACTGTCTGAACGTACCATAATTGATAGCGACAGTTCTCAACTGGTGGACATTCAGATTATTTCTAATTATTCTTTATTATTAATTAAGGCTGGTCAGAACATCCTTAGTCCCTGCTCAATAATTTCTTTAGGATAAACTCTCAAAGTGGAATTGCTGTGTCTGCACATTTTTACATTTATAACAAACATTACCAAACTGTTTTCCAGAAAGCTGGTGTCAGTGCCCAGTGCCACCAGTGAGATCTTACATTTCCCTGAAGTCTCCCAGACTTCGGTATTTTCATTCTTTTTCATCTTTGTTCATTTGGTAATTGAAAAATTATCTCACATTTGCACTCTTCTGATTACTAGTGAGATTGAACATCTTTTCCTTCATCAGATTTCCTCTTCATGTAACTGTATATTTTGCATTATCAATGTTGAACACCTTTGTTCCATACATTTATTTGAGACAAGTTAACCAGGCACCTGGTGGGATCCTCAGGAATCAAATGGACACAGGATGGGGAGATCTGATTAGAGAAGGACTGGGAGGTGAAGACCTGAAACATGGGGGCTGGAGCCAGAGACCAAGCAGACAAGTTGTAGCTGACCTTTCGTGGAGAAATCTCTTTGGGAAATATCATTTAAATTATGCCAGATCCAAGACTATGTGATATCGAAAGTAAGATGTTTCTAAAAGGTATATTAACATAAGAGGTTACAAGGAACAGACCAAAGGATAAGTCCAAATTTTTTTTTGTTTTGTTTTGTTTTTTGAGACGGAGTTTCACTCTCATCACCCAGGCTAGAGTGCAGTGGTGCGATCTTGGCTCACTGCAACCTCTGCCTCCACGGTTCAAGTGATTCTCCTGTCTCAGCCTCCTGAGCAGCTGGGATTACAGGCGCCTGCCACCAGGCCCGGCTATTTTTTTTTTTTTTTTTTTTTTTTTTTTAGTAGAGATGGGGTTTCACCACATTGGTCAGGCTGGTCTCAAATTCCTGACCTTAGGTGATCCACCCGCCTCAGCCTCTCAAAATGCTGGGATTACAGGTATGAGCCACCGTGCCCGGCCAGTCCAAATGTTTTAGTTGAGAGGATGCTCAACTTTTCTTCCTGAGGACCAACTTCCTATTCAGATTGCCCTTTTTTTTTTTTTTTTTTTGCTCAAAAATGATACAAAAGATAAACTGAACTGTCACCCTCCTCCCAAAGACTCTTTTGCTACTCCATGGCCTTACCCATCCACCTAAAGGTGTGATGTGGCCCAGTGCACAGCCACTTCGGTGGGTTGCTCTCTTCACTGTCTCACAAACATCCTAGGCCAAATAGTCTCAGGCAGCTCTCTCCCCCGACATCCCATTCTTCAGTCTTCTGCTCATACAAATGCAACTCCACCTGAAGGAGTGATAAGAGCAATGCTCCCTCTTTGAAACATCCTCTACTAACTCCAGATAGC